CAAAATATAATTTATTTATTTTTTTATTAAATTAAGTTGATTACAAAATAATAACTGTTCTAAATATTTTCAACCATTTGACAATGAATATTCAATCACCCTACTATAGTCGCTGGTGCTCGAATCCGTGACCTTTAGTATATGTAACAGTATTCAACATATTACAATAGTCTCAACCAAACTAACTGCAAATATTTACATGAAAGTTTATAGAAAATGTATACTTTTCTATTATTTCTAACTTAGCATGTTACTCAATTTGATGTTGGTTATTTATTAACGAATCGTTACTCGCATTCATTCTTACTCTTCGGACAACCTACCGAAGGGCTAGGGCTTGGCTTGCACATCATCGCTTATTCAATGTTCACATGATATGTGATTCCTCTAACACATTATTCACTTATCACATCATTTCACAATGATATGTCGTTCGCATTCCTTTCCCGATGTTTGCCCACTTTGATGCCTTGGCTTGTGGAGTGATAAACACTTAATAGATAGTTGATGCATCATTGATTAATCATTTCATTCCGATACATGTATATCTGAGGGTCCTTTTGAAGTTTTTTAACCTGCTGGTATTTTGGTTATTTACCACTCTCAAGTGTATTTAAGTTACATTCGACCATTTAAGCTTCTCACATGCTAAATCCTACTATTATGGATAGTCCCTCTCTCTTACGTACAAGCCTTAATCGAAGTCAAACTTCACTTCCCAAGCATGGAGTATCAATATCATATTAAGGGTATCAATACTCACCTTAGAGTATAAATACCCTTGATTAGTATATATCAGAAATTGCCTCGATGTCCCTTGGTATCAATACTCTATCTTTGATATAGACACCACATTAACAATATTGATACTACATACTGAAATTGTCAACATTTCTTCCTCAATTCATATGGTACCGATACTATTCCTTTAGTATTGATACTTAAATCTAGAAATACATATTTCTAAGCTCGAGAATTACTCTAAAATCCTCTCAAATATTCTAGTTTAAGCTTGAATTGATTCCTAAAATTTAAGGGAGTCATTTAGTATTTTCTAGCATCCTAAAAGCACATGTTACACCATCATAACATCATGGCTGTCCCTTTTTCCCATATGTATGGGGTAAGGGGGAGGTAAGATAGTAGGCTGCCCCCAACACCAGGTTGAGAGCAGCTTCCGTAAGGGACCTCCGAATTATGAAATGCCCTCCGTGGGGTTTGAGTCTAATTTACATCCAGTTAGGCCTATATTCGGTCCAACGACTTCAAATACTAACTCCACTCAATTTATATATCTCTCGGATTAATCCTCATACGTTAACTAGAAAATTCAAAGTGTTACATAACAGAGCACGATTTTTTTAATCTAGAATCTTAAGTCTAACTGCAATGCAAGAATGGAGGGTTTTTCTGTCATCGTCGACAATTATTACATTGACAATGTTCATTATCAAGAGCATATTTTGAATTATGGGTGGGTTTCAATGTAAAACTTATTAATTTTACGTAATATAAGTGAAACTTATTTATATAATTTTATTTCTAAAAAATAATCATTTATTTTTTAGAAAATAAAATAGTTATTGTGTTATTTAATATTTGATGCACTGATAATATAATTTTATATATCATCAATAAATTAGATAATGAAATGTCATTATAAATAAAGAATCAAGTAAATTTAGTTTTGTTTTTTTATAATATATCATCATTATATTTATTGATTATGTCTAAAATTTATAATCAAAGACAGACACAAGATATGCTAGAGGTGAACTTCTATAATTTTAGGGGAATGCGAACTTATAAAATTCTAAGGGATGAAAAAAAATTATCAGTAGAACATACAAATAAATTATTTAAAATATATTATAATTTGATTTTTTTAGGAGTACGACTACCCTCACTTGTCCCCTTGCTCCATCTCTATTTATATCATTGCATTAAATATAAATCCTTAATGTATTTATTAGGGTAAACTATACCCATAAATACTTAACTATTGTTTCTTTTTATTTTTATCGTCGATCTTTCAAATTTGTCAATCATACCACTTAACTATGTAAGTGTTATCAATTAAACCACATGTTAAATAATTAATTGATTTGATTGATAAAATTAAAAAAAATTGATGATAAAATAAAAAGAAAAAAAATTAAGTAGTCATGAGTGTAATTTACCCAGTTTATTAACAAGAGGGAAAGAAAAGAGAAAACTAATATGATGTTTTGTACATATAATTGCAAGTACAATGAATATAATACAAATACCTTAGCTTAATAAAAAAAACTATATCCCAATGAGTGTTGACATAAGTGGTTGAGATTTAGGAATTTGAGTTTGTGAGGCCAAGTTCGAATTCTACAACCGTCACTCTTGATGGGCAATATGTAAATTCCTAAGTAAATCTCAATTAAGTTTTAGATATGCCCTCGCCTTGGACTGAAGGAGTCACATCTGAATTAAACTTTTATGCACAAAAATATACAAATAACTATATTCATGAGTCAATAAATAATAAATATAAATAGCACCAACGGATTGATAGATAAAATATTTGAATAGTCTAGGGTGATTATAAATAGTATTTATTTAAGGTATTTCTTAATACAATGCACACGTATCTGCATAAATAATTATTTGAACCTAAAACCTCTAAAAAATCACTCTGTTCAACCAATAAACCACTTGATGAATTCAAAAATATATATTTAAATCATAATAAATTTAGATAAAATTTACATATTATGAGATTAAAATATTTAAAATTATTCACACATAATTTACATATAATAAAACTCAACCAAAAAAATAAAATTCTAATTAGGCATCCCGAAAAGATGCGAATATTTATTGGTAAATTATATTTATATTATATATGTTACATCAAAATATCTGTTGGCACAGCATCAAGGAAGGGACGGAAAAAAAGTAGCTTTCTAGATGTGCCTTGTCTCTAACAACAGCAAATCGAGATCGAGGGAGTTCTGTAGTAATACAAGAAAAAAGAAAGTCTGCTTGGCCGCCTTGCATGGATCATGCATCTAACCTTATTAAAAAATATGAGCGATATCGTCCTTGAAGGTCCTGGATTCGAGCTGTTAAATTTGTAAGATGTGTGTGCATTGTTAATGGTTCAATTGCAAAAACTGGCTCTTGCTGAGAAAATAGAGCTGGAAGATTCAAAGACAAGAAAGGAACATGGCAATGCAATGCATGGAAAATGAAGGCGAAGGAATTAACTTTGTTGATTGCCTCTGGACAAGTACCCGATCCATGGATCCCTTTGCTTTTTTAAAAGGGAATAATCATTAACTTGTGGGCATTGATGCAATCATACACAAGTTAACTTTAAGGGCTTGCTTTTTGCATACATGTTCTTCATGCAGCAGCATAAATTCTGCTCTTCTCTTCTTTAGAATCTGTCTTTTCCAATTTGGCATGCCCCACTATAAGCCTTTCCTTCTTTTTTGCCGAAATTTCCAAATGCATGATCCTCGTAGCATACCTGAAATGCAATGAAAACAAATGGAAGAATCGAATTAACGATGACTAAAGACATCGATCCACTTACTGATGTGATGGCACCACATCAGCCACAGTGGATGTTTGAGATTTTACTTTCGGCTTCTCCCTTCTTGAACTGATGCTTTTTTTTATATAAATAATCTGGTTCAAGTAATTATGTGTACGATGTCAATAACTAATTTTTTTAAATATATATTATTTTATAATCACTTTAAACTATTAAAAACCCTATAGAGAGCATCAGCACGCCATTGCCAATAAATCTACCCTTCAAAAGATGCAAGTCTAGATCTAACAAGGAAAGCTATATTGCCATTGACAGTCATTTATGAATTATAATAACACAGGCCTGGTATATATAAGCTCTGTTTAACCATCACTTTGATGTCTATATATTCATCTTCAACATTCAGTGTATTTCCTTTTCATTACCATTTAAAGCTTGTGGTGGAGTGTTAGGTTGGGATTGTTGAGGTCAACAACATTGATGGAGATGTTATCATCATGATAATGTGTGCTTGCATTAGAACCTTGTGAGAAACATGGTAAGCAGGTGGCAGTGCAGTCGTATTATTTAACCCCGCGCCGCCTCAGGTGACAACAGCGAATAATGTAGATTTTGCCATTTATATATATTCGATTGGCTTTTGAAGAAATTTAAAAAATAATCACGACCACTATAGAGTTTTGGTTCATCTATTTGAAACCCTGACGATTAGAAAAGATGGGACCAACAGCAGAGAGTTTATTATAGAGGTCAAACTCGATAACATTCGGTTCCTAATCTTCACCTTTGCCATTGCCACCACATTGGGAAGTATCTTGGTTACGGTTACGACAACTTTTACTCCAATTACCAACGTCAAAAGTTTATTCAAAATTTTGTGAGTTGGTCTATCAATTTATAGTTAAGTATTTAATAAACTAAACTTTTGTGTTCAAATAATCTCAAATGGAAAAGAATTCATTTTACTCATCTAAGCTTCACATATGAGTTGCTAATATTCTCGGAAGGAAATCTGGAGTCTATAGTGGAAATAATGGGTTACAAGAATTCTACAAGTTCTGTAGTCTTCACTTGAATCCCTTTTAAAACGAAAGTTTATGATTCTAACATATACTACAATCAGTTGTACAATTAAGGATATCATAGGGTTTAAGATTGGGCAACTATCAATGTATTGTATTATCTCTAAGTTTTTCTCGTCACTAGAAGACTTATAAAAAAGGATTTCACTCTTGTAATTATAGATGACAGTTTAATCTAAAACCAACAGATTCTGACTTGACATAACTTTAATAGTGTTGGATTTCACTCTTGTAATTAGCATAGCGTACTACACGAAACACATCGCCTCACCCTTACCAAAAAATCCTTGGTCCCTCTCTTGGGGTTTAAGCATGATATCTTCCTTGCTCATTATTCCAGTTAGTTCTTTACTCCAATTATCATGGTATCTTCCCTCATTTACTTTTTCTTGCCTTCGTTTTCCAAAGCTATGTTTCTCGAGTTTCTTGGAACTGATTCTTTTGTTTCGTGTTAAGAAATAAGTAATTTCTTTGTTTTTCTTTTAGGAACAGATTTATCCGTTGTTTTTTTTATCAAAGCTTTAGGTTGTCTAAATCACACAGACTTGAAGGGAAAAGCAGTGAGGACAATGTGATCTGAGAGAGGTCCTTTTCCAAGAAAGATTGGTATTTCCAATCTCTTTATCAAGAACGATTGGAGTAATAGTTGGCGTAAGCATAACAAAGAGACTTTCCAGTCAACACTTTCTTGGAGGGAATCTTCTGCCCTTTTGTTCATTTTGAGTCAGAAGAATCAGCTACGGCTGCTATGTCATGACACTATGCTTAAAGGAAACAAGTTGTAGGTTTTTGAGGTGTTATGAAAATTTATAAAGACCGATCTGTAAAGTAAGATATTTTGAAGACTAAACTACAAAATCTTCAAATGTTCAAGACAATGATTTTTTTTTCAACTTTGACTGATTACTGTTGAATTATATTGTAATGATGATGATCAAAGTGACTGTTTTGTAAGACGAACCATGTCATCTGGAACCATGTCAGAGAGGCTTGAATGTGTCTTTCTTCGTGTAATATTATTTTGACGGACGAAATACTTCTGGGCCTGACTTGTTACCTGAGTGGGCGTCCTTGACGTTACAAACTTCCGGGCTATCCCTCGCCAGTCCCCTTACCCTAATGTCTCGAGGCCAACTAGAAACAGCCGATGTTCCTCTTCGGACCATGGTATACCTGTGTAAAAACATGAATTAATCTGTCTTCAGCTTTATCAAGATTAAAACACATGCTGGATTAATAATCGTTCATTACCAAATCATGGGATCAAAAGATTCAAATAAATTATACTAAAAAATATTGCACGGTAATTTTTTATCACCATTAACAACTAGCTAAGTATGATTACATAATTATAATCTTAAAAAACAGTAAAACTTGGAACTCAAAATTTCTTGGACAACTTTTTGCTGAAAGTGAGGGAATTCATGTATTAGACATAAATTGCCTAAATGAGATGGCACTTAGGAAAGTAACGAATTAATAGAGAGAATTTTTTTTGCAATGGAAGTTAATACGTTTGATTAACACGAGGGATTAAATAAACATTTGTTTTCTTTTACTTTGAACAATGTTACCTAATTTGTGATTCGTTTTAGTTCGTGGAACATGTATGGGATCACAATTTGTTAATTTTACCGTTTGCGGTTCATTGTATGTAGACTTCTTTAAAACGATCACAATTCGTGATGATATTTTTTTTGATTCACTGATAATTTTTTAAGGGTTAACTATTTTAAATACCATTCATCTTTAAGCTAGGGTTCGAAAATGCCAATGAAGTTTTAATTTTGCCAATTTTATCACTGATGTGTATATTTCACTTGAATTAAGTCACCTCGCCGTTAATGACTTAACGACATGATGACATAACATCTCCGTACTGTGACGTTGCTAACATGACTCCCTCCCCAAAACAACGTCGTTTTGATGAAACTGTTTGATGCTTAAAAAAACCCAAAACGATGTTTTATTAAAATCATTTGAAGATAAATTGCTTTCCATGGGATTCGAACTTATATCATTAAAAAGTAAATGTTATACACCCAAACACTAAGCTAAATTAATAACTTGACACGTTCTTAACAAATATAATATATATGTTAAATTGTAGTTGTATACTTCTCTAGCGTTTTCACTGCACTACTGTAAGCTACCATAAGCACGGTTTCGATCCTAGGGTCACAACTAAAACCATCTTTCAAAGCTCGAATAACAATTGCAAAGATATATGGATTGGGTTTTATGCCTTCCATTTGCATTGCAAGAACAATTCCAAAACTTGCTCGTTCATTCCATTCTGAGCATAACCACTACGCAATGAAATCCAAAAAACCATATTTCTTTCATCTAAATGATCAAAAACTCTCCTACCATCTTTAACATTCTCTGTCCTCATATACATATCGAAAAGATAAGTCCCTACACGTACATCCTCAGGTAACCCAAGTTTCAAACATTGACAATGAACTTGTCTTCCAGCTATCACATTAAACAAGCATCCACACACCTCTAAAACACAGGATAAAGTGGATCCATCACCTAGCAACCAAAACGATGAATACCCAAAATGAGATTTAGAGCTTCATTCTTCTTGTTATTGCGAGAGTAGTCGAACATCAAACCATTGTAATGGGAAAGGTCTGGGTGAGGACTTTTGTCAAATTAACAGGTGAGGATTCTGCAGTAAAGTAGCATATTCGACGTAAATTTTCAAGCTTTGAAGGTTCAAATTCAATGAATTGGTTTGGAAAAGCATATTTCAACACTATGAACCCAGATGGGTTTTTTCTTCTTCTTACTTTTATGCTGTCGAATTGCTTCGATTGTTCATGGTTGCATTATGCTATGTATGCTTAGCAAGATCTCTGTGAGGATTAAAATCCGAAACAAAAACAAACAAATACATTGGAGAATTCAGTACCCACTTTCACCAATAAGGTCGAAACGGTTTTCGGAGCTCCTGCAGATGTTTTTTGTTTTTTAACAAGGCTGTAAATGCGGAGGCACGTTCTCGATACCTTTACCTGTAGCTTTGGTAGGCAGGGTCGTACATGCAGTTCTCAGCATACTTCACGAGATTGTGGGGGCGAGGCTGGCGAGTACCCAGACCTATCAAACAATGGGGTAACGAAGTTAAGATCCGATAAAAGATGGGAGTTGCATGTCGTATCGTACTATCGGTAGAGGAAAGGATTTTACCGAGTTCGTATGCTTTAGCTGCAACATCGGCTGCAATATGAGCTGAAATCTTTCTTATATTTCTGAATGGTGGGTAAATCTGTCCCTTGTCGAAGTTCTCGTGTCACCTGTGCAGCCAAAGCCTCCGCTGCTCAAAGAAACAAAGAAAACACAAGGATAAACTCCATAGCTCATTTATCCATAAGCATATCGTCTAATGCTGCGAGTTATCAACCGAAACTCCTGAACTTAAATGTGTACTTACAGGCTGCGAGAAGCATATCGTCGTGAACACGGATTGCACCGGACATTATTAAACCCAGACCGAGGCCAGGGAAGATGTTTGCATTATTTGCCTGTAGGAGAGATATAACAACTCAAATTAGCCCTGGATGCATGACATAACCAAATACGGAGGTAAATCCGCTTTAGGTACAACCTGCCCAGTCACGAAAACTCTTCCATTGTATTCCACAGGATCAAATGGGCTTCCACTGGCAAATATGGCTCGACCCTAAAAGCAATCAAAAAAGGGAAGAACCATTTCGTGTTACATTGTTTAAAGTCACGTATAAGTTTGAACAGAAAAGCAGAAATAAATAAATAGATCAAATGTTGAGCAATGTAACAAAAAGCTGCACGACTGAATTACCTGACTCCATGTATAAGCTTCTTCTGCGGTACATTCCGACTGTGAAGTTGGATTAGAAAGAGAGAATATAATAGGTTTCTGCAAGCAGTCACATAAAAAACAGATCAGTTACGGCTTGATTGCTTCACTTATTTATAAAGAAAACTTATCGACCGATGGGGTACTTCATTCAAGGCAGCCATAGCCTCGATCACTTCTTTAGTAAATGTCCTTCCTACTCCTGATGTTCCGATCAACACTGTTGGTTTGATTCCCTGTCAAAATAAGACGAAAGAACGAAAAGCGCGAGAACCTTTACTTTTTTTTATTCGGTGGGAGTTGAAGGGTGAGAAAAGGATGATGAAAGGGAGAGATTTCAGACGTTAACGCCATCGATGAGATTCTTGACTGGTTCATGATCGTGAGCCCAGGGCTTTTTGAAATGCTGAAGTGTGTCCATACGAGATTTAACAATCAGACCCTGAAAAAAGAATAAAATGATTTCAAAATTAATCACTAGAATGAAGAATCGTCTGCTTTTACGAGAGAGCTAGATCATATGTTTACTACCTTGGAATCCACAAGCGAAATCTTCTTGCGAGCCTCTTTGAGCGGCATGTTCGTCTGCATGTATGATCAAGTATCATTTCCAGCAGCTTCATGCCATGATTTTCATCAACCATAAAAATATTATAAAAACTATGATGACTAGCGCTAAAAGTAAAACCTGTTTTGAAATTTCAAGAGCTATAAGTTCTGCTATGCCGGTACCAGCCTGCAGATCACCAAATAAAAAGTTAGGTACGGCGGTAAAATGGCAGTCCGTATAGTAACAAAAAATAGATAACGGAATTTAAAACTTTCAACAATTTGCAACAGCAACTCACCTCTCCAGCACCAAGGAATAAAAATCTATGATCTGCCAAGGTTCCACCAACAACTTTTAGTGCAGCAACAGCCCCTGCAAGGACCACGGATGCCGTTCCCTGCAAAAAGGGTAATTTACCAAAATCATAAATGAATTTTTTACGCTTAATTGATTTAATAAAACTAAGTTTAAATGCTAACTTGAATATCATCATTGAAAACCAGATGTGTTGTGCTATATTTAGCAAGCAAATCAAACGCATTGTGGTTTGCGAAATCTTCAAACTGCAAAAATTGTTCAAGATTCAGAAAACATTAAACTTGACGTATAACCAAAAGATGTCTTTGTTTGGGTCAACTTACCTGAATGAGAACTTTCTCCCCATAGGTCTGCTTAACCGCAGTCATGAATTCGTGCATAAGTTCCGCATATTCCTAGAATCAAAAAGCATAAAACCACGTTAGTATAATTTTTTTATTGCCTCCAAAACTTAAAACAAACCAAGTGCATTAGGAGATAATGTACCTGCCCGGTAGCTCTCCTTTGCCTAAGCCCTATATAAAACTCGTCATTCAACAATTTCTCATTGTTCGTACCCACATCAATGGTTACAGGCAAGCACTGCAAACAGTAGCCAATGTATAAGCCAAAACATTAGGATATATCACCAACATGGTCAACAGTAAGATATAGGCTCTTATGAGGCTTGTCCGGATTTATAACCACTTAGTGAAAGCAATATGCAATGGACCTGCCATCACTACGTACAAATAAAGCAAGGATGGCAATTACTCATCATTATGGATACTTACAGTGGAAGGACGAACTCCTCCTAATGCAGTGTATAAAGAAAGCTTCCCTATAGGTATTCCCATCCCCTGAGGATACAAATTAACCTTAACTAGTCAACGACACATGAGGCATAGAGAGGAGAGAGGCGATTATTGGTAGATTGTCACCAAGTATTTATACCTGACAGCCAAGGTCCCCGAGACCCAGAATCCTTTCCCCGTCAGTTACAACAATGATTTGAATATTCCTCTGAGGCCAATTTCTTAAAACTTCACGAATCTTCCCTCTACAAAGGATACGTGTCAGAGTAATATGAGAAATAATCACAAGATTCAAGAATACCATCTGTAATCCAAGGAACCAGTTCTCGTATGACAAACGTACTTTTCTTTCAAACTGATAAAAAGACCTTGAGGGCGCCTGAAGATGCTCCCATACTTCTGGCAAGCTTTACCGACAGTTGGGGTGTAGACAACTGGCAGCAACTCCTCGACATTGTTGATGAGAAGTTTGTAGAACAGACGTTCATTTAATTCCTGAAAACGAGAGTAAAACAGAAATCAAGTCAAAGCGTCAACGTCTTTCACGGAAATTGATTAAAGCACCAAGCATTATTGCTCTATGATTACAATAACGCATAAGAAGTTTTACAATAGAGTGGAATGGTAACCTGCAAATCCATCATGGCCATGTACTTCTGCAGAGGAACTTGATACTGGCGGATACTATGCATCATCTTCTTGACCTGGTGAACTGCAGTAAAGTAGTTCATGAAATATTGCACGGTTAAGGAAAATGAACAAAATCGAATAGAATGATTCAAATAAAGGGTAAAAAAACGATGTACAAGCAAGGTAGATAACCTGAAGGTCTTGGGAAATAACAGTCGGAGGAAGAAGACCGCGCAAGTAATAAGCGTCCCTTTCTTTCTCGTTGAAGGCAAGCCCTTTGTTGTGGTGAGGATCTCGCAACAACGAATACCCACTGCAGCCGACCAAGAAGAGCTTAGACTTTGAAAGAATTCGAAATCGAATTCATATTGGATTTAGATTATGGTTCATTAAACATAAGACTCGTTCTAGCATCATAGTAATTCCAATCGTGTCTAACAATCGACCCAACGGAAAAACAACAAATCGAAGTCTTGAATTGGTCATTGTGGCCACAGCATCAACATCTATCAGTCATACAAAACACTAAAATCCACAACAAAGACATCAAAATAAATATAAAAAAGACCCATCGCTTGGACAAAGACAATGATACTAGATCTGAGAAATATTAAGCTCATAACAGAAAACAACAAAAAGACAAAAAAAAAAAGGAAAATGTAAAATGAAGACTATTGCGAAAGGGAAAGAAATAGAATTTACCTGGCGACAGAGAAAGACCAAGGGGTGACAAGTTGATCGTCGGCGGCGGCGGCGTCATCGTAGGAGAGCTCAGCATCTTCTCCAGCAACGGTTGAAGTGGGGTCCACGTCAGCAACAGAAGAATTGTCATCTTCTTTTATTTCTTTCAATGGGTTGCTGTTCTCAACCAACACACTGCTGTTTCTGTCCTTGTTGGGGCCTAAAGCCGTCACTTTGACTGAAGCAGGTGGCAGTTTGTTCAACTTGTAAGACAAAGGGCTTGAAGACCCAGAAATGCCAGTGTTGTTCTGTTCCCAAAAAAATAGACCAAACAGAATTGAAAGAAAAAAAAAATCTCCCTTTAAATACAACAACTATAAAATCCTATTCACATATGGAGGTAGTGCCCTCAACTCCGGATTAAAAACAGTTTTCGTGAAAGATACAATAAAAAAATTAAAATTAAAAATAAAATACAATGAATAAATAAATAAATAAATAAATAAATAAATAAATAAATACATAATTAAACTTATATAATCTCTAAAATCCTTTAAATAATTTATGGTAAATCTGATAACTTTATAGGAAAAAAATGAATTTTGGAAAGTAAAAAATAAAAAAAGACCGTGGACCACATAGAATAGGACAAAAAAGAGAGGGTATAATCATATGATTTCCAAACAAGAAAAAGACTGGAGAAAGGGGAAAAACATGAAAGAGATTTAATAACTTCTAAAGCTTTAGGATCAAAATTCTATAAAATAGCCAGACATGAACAATGGACTGATAAACAAATTACCAGAAAACAGCTTCTGTGCAAGGAAATCATGCTGCGGGATAAATGTGGATTTTTCTCTCAAAAGAAAGGAGCAGGGAAAGGAAAGGAAGAGACTTTGGAGGAGAACTGAGAAGCGTTATATAAAGCTATCCCCTTCCCTTGCTTTGTTCTCTCTCGCTACCAACCGCTGGTTTTATGTGTGAGAGTGATAGATATATGAAAGAGGGGAGGGGGTGTCCTATAAAAACGTGTCCGGTTATCTTTTTTTCTCTTTTTTGGCGGGTTGAATAACGAAACTGAAAAAATTGAAAACTCGACATGAATCGAATAAAATAGTTCGGTTCGGTTCGGTTTGATTTGATATTATACGGTTTGATTTTCAGTTCGATTTAAAGTCTCAATTCTTTTGATTAGGTTCGGTTCAGATTTTTCATATGGAACCCATTTATTCTATATTGAACCGAATAGATAATTTTTTTTCAAAAAATTATAATTTTAAGTATTTTTTATTGAAAAACCGAAAAACTCGAACCGTTAAAAAACCCGAACAGAACCGAAAAAATCGATTTCGATTTTTTAACCATTTGACTTCGATTTCGATTTAAATTTTAAAAAATCGTTTATTTCGGTTCGATTCAATTTTTAATAAAAAATCGAACCGAACCGAATACACCCCAATTTTCGGGACATTCTTGCTGCTTCCAAATGACAAGTGGGTTGCTGGTTTTGGGTCTTTATTACGAAAGTGCCACCACACATCATCAAGACATCACCTTGAAAAAATATGTGGGTCCCATGTCCCAAGCTGTTTGAAGCTCGAGTTGAATTGGAAGTAACGACTGTTTTTTTTAGGTGTCTGTAAGAAGTTTGAGTTTGGTTCTCTGAACAAACCTTAGTTATGACGTTTACAGAGATGACAGGAACGGTAAGGACGACAGACACTGACTGGTCGTCAACTTGTAATCACAAAATCAAAATGACGATGAAAATGAAAATCGGGAAAATTAAAAATCAATCCATATCTCATTTATTTAATTTTGTTTCTTAAAAAATTTGAAGTATTTTATGCGTTGAAGTCAATAATTTGATGTTATGGTAGAAAACAATAAATACTCGTTCTTGAAACTTGAATGAAAGTGAAATAATAATAATAATAATAATAATAATAATGTATTAAATATAAAAGAAATACATATTATAAAGTGAAATAATAATAATAATAATAATAATAATAATAATGTATTATATATAAAAGAAATGCATATTATAATGTTGATAAAAAATAGAGTTACATTGAGATTACCATATATAATAAAAAGTAAAAAATAATATCATGAATTACACATAAATTATATATGAATGATACGAACCAATTTATCTTAGTAGTTAAAGAAATTGTTGTTGTTTCTATAACTCAAGGGTTCGAGCATCAACGATTGCAGTAAGGTGATCGAACGTTTATTATCAAATAGTTGAGAGTATTTAGAACAGATACTACATCACCTTAGCTTAATCAAAAAAATAATTATACATGAATGAATTTCATAATATAACGTCCGTTAATTACGCATCAGATTTCTTCGTATTAAATATTTTTTAATAAGAGTGTCATTGTTATTATCTATATCATCTTACCATCATTATCTCTAATACTGTTTAGCATCAACGTGTATTGATCAAACGAATTCATTCATTGACGAGTCCCAACTTGATATTTGGCTTCTGGTTCTGCCTCTTTGTCTGTCGGTTTCCTTCTATTTCATGTGGTTCATAGTTTCTTGGCTGTCGTGGCTCTATATCTCATCTATTAACAGCTAGTAAAATAGTTTTGAAATTACAGTTACTAGATTTTATCTCAAAGAAAAATGAAGCCAAGAAAATTATAAATTATTTAAACAAAGTGTTGAAAAGATAGAATTCAATGAATAACCTCTGATAACATTCATTAAGCTCATTGTTAACTACGTTACAATCAACTTATATACAAGCTGTAACTTCAAGTGTACTCAACCTCTATAACAAACTCATAACAGAATCCAATATAACAACTCACTCACACACACAACGCTCACATCAGCAGCACATACACACGTTACTGCATATTCTAGATATTCTAGAATATATTCCAATATTCTCCTTACTCTTTTCCTTCTCCTTGATCAAATGACAAAACCTGCACTTTGGGTCGAAATTGCTCAAACGAAGATTTGTACAATGATTTAGTAAACCATCCGTTCTAGTTGAATCGGAAGTGCGGATGCTTCCTTCCGTTCGATTTGAATCGGAAGTGCAGATGCTTCTCCGATTCATCCTTCCGTTCGACTTGAATCGGAAGTGTCAATGCTTCCCTCAGTTCGACTTGAATCGAAAGTGTCGATGCTTCCCTCCGTTCGACTTGAATGGATGCGAACTTTTGATGTAAATGAACATTCAACAAAAAATTCTTAAAAAAAAACCTATTCTATAACAACAATGCCAAACAAACACAAAAATTTATTATTTTTCTCATACTGCCTTTCGAGTTTCGTAATCAATGGCTTTACCTAACCAACAGACTGTTGATTATCCGAGCTTCAAGCTTGTCATCGTTGGCGATGGAGGCACTGGAAATACCACATTCTTGAAGAGGCATCTGACTGGAGAGTTTGGTAACACCAGCAAGCTGATAGAAGTCAGCGTAGAAAAGGATGGGAAATGCTCTTTAATCGGCTCGAGAAGTCTGACGGCGATATCAAGGCTGTTGTTAGCACCGTGTGCAAGCTCAACAGGCTGCTTCATGGTTCCGAATGGACCTCCGATCTTGATCTTAACATCGAAAGTCCCAGCTGAGTGCCACGCCAGACGGAGCATGAGCGGAGCACAGTTCTTCTTAGCGATTAGACCTCTGAGCTTCCTCTTAGCCTTTTCAACTTCCTTCTGGCATTCCTCAGTCACAGTTGAGTAACACTTCGTCATTTTCTTTTCGTGAAGTAACCGAGAGAAAGAAAGTTTAGAAGCGTGAAACCAAAATTCTCAGGACTTTGGCGAAAGATACCATGTTGAGAAGATAGAATTCAATGAATAACCTCTGATAACATTCATTAAGCTCATTGTTAACTACGTTACAACCAGCTTATATACAAGCTGTAACTTCAAGTGTACTCAACCTCTATAGCAAACTCATAACAGAATCCAATATTTCTTAACAGCTATAACAACTCACTCACACACACAACGCTCACATCAACAGCACATACACACGTTAATGCATATTCTAGATATTCCAGAATATATTCCAATACAAAGAAAGGGTTGAATTCATCATAATAATCTTCTTTTCAATACAAACACAAGAATCAATAGATTAAAGAATAAACATCATAAACACCATAATCATCAACTATAGATTTCTTAGGTTTTGCAGATTTCAGTGTGAAGGTTAAAGGGTAGAGGAGATTGTGGAAAGAGAAAGAAAAAGAAAATGAGTTATAAGAGGGATTAAATTAGTATAATATTTATATTTTAAGCTCTAAATTTTTAAAAATTAAGATTGGATTATATTGTGTAAAGATTGAGAGCTTAATTTGTATGTAACATCATTTATATGGTCTAGTCATAACGAGTCAGGCATGTTACATTGACTATTTCGAATTATGCATACTCAACAAATAATGTGATTCAATTATGCAACAAGGCATGCACACAATCATGCGAACTTGAGGACTAATATGAATATCTTAGCAATCTTTGTGCTATATTATAAAACAAACAGAAGATGAAGGTTTTTAAGTGAATTTAACCAACTTAGACAGTTAGTATTGATACTTCTTTAATATTTAAAACATCGAGTTTTAGCACGAACCGAACGACCTCAATAATAAAGGAATTATTGTTATTCCTTGAGATATTGGGTTCGAGCACTAGGAATAACAAGGTGTGAGCGTTCAATAACAAATGATGGAGAGTTATCTTTGAATAAATATTGTTTTATATTTACACTAAATTAATGAAAAAAACATCAAATTTTAATTTAGAAATGATAGTGAAATATCGATATCGATACTACCTAGGAAATGTACCAGTACTCAAAGTCAGTATGATACTGCCTAGGTAGCGAATGTGAGATGTTATATTATTATTAGAGAATTAAATTTATTAAATTATTTTTAATTAAAATTTGAATTAAATTAATAAAATATGTAAGTAATTAGGATCACATATGTTATTATACAAAATTAAATAACTTGTCCCCCTCATCGTTCAATCCTTGTCCGTGACCAAGATATAATTTTGTAATAAATTAGAGCTCATCAAATGATTTCAGTGATAAAATAGAGTATTGTTCTTCTCAGTGGTCCCAAATTTGAGTAGATGCATCTGCAGGACGTGTGTTCATTATCAATGATTTAGAAATATTTTCAACAAATATTACTTTATAATCATCTTGAACTATAAAAAAATTGGCACGCATTAACTTTTAAATTTAGAATTTTTAAGGAGCTTATACACATTTTTGCCATTTATGAGGACCACCCCTGCTCGAAAGTAGTTTAGTTGTTGAACGGACGCTTGGTGGTGGTTGGAACGCTTTGGCAAATGCAAAGTGAAGGTAGGTGGCCTTACTTGGGAGAGATTGGTGAACCATGAATCCTTTGAGACAGCGGCCGGTGGCCACACTCTTTGCCTATCACTACTCACTGCTGGCGTGGAGTTTACCATTATTATTTATAATTCCTCACCAAGTTTCCAATGCTGATGGGTAGGGATGGCAAACGGGCGGGTCGGGTGCGGATACCTCATTCCCCATCCCCATACCCAGCTACTATTTTTCAATCCACCACCCGCCCATCACCCATGATGGGTACAAATTTTTAAATCCACACCCGCCCACGCGGGTACATTTTCAAATCCATCTCCACACCCACTACCCACTAGCGACATACCCATCTAGACCCGCCTGACAACAAACTAATGAGATGTTGGAGTTGGTTCCCAGACAGTTCGTGATGGGGTAGCAGCGCATGCTTCAATTTGTCAGAGGAGTGGCTCTACGAATGTTATGGAGACAGATTATAGGGAGCATGTAGTCGCAGAGCTGGATTGTTGTGTTGCTTTCGATGTTAATGCTCATAGTGCGCCTAATATGGGTTTTGAGGGACTAAAGAACATGGAAACTGCTGCTTTTGATGTTAATGCTTATAGTACGACTAATTTGTGTTTGGATGGGCAGGATGGGCAGCATGGGCTAAAGAACATGGAAAGTGACGTGATTAGTGGGATTATGGGTTTAATCAAAGAGCCGAATATTTCCCTAATTAAATACCAGATTAAAGACTAAATATCCTTAATATTTAGTTAAATTATATGTTATATATTATATAATATTAAAATTTATAAATTAGTCTCTAAAATTACACCTAAATTCATAATGGTCCAAAATTTAATAGATATTTAGCTGGGCGGGCGGATGTGGGGCGGGCGGATGTGGGGCGGGCGGATGCGGGGCGGGTAATGTCTCAAACCCATTACCCGCCCACCACCCACGACGGGTACTACTTTATAAATCCACACCCGCCCACTACTCGCTAAAATTATACCCATCCCCGCTCCAATTGGAGCGGATGCGGTGCGGAATCCACGAAACCGTACCCGTTTGCCATCCCTACTGATGGGCCTCAGTGGGAGTCATCCTCCCATTCCTAATAAGTGGCGATCCACCCTTTGTTTGAAATTAATTTTTTTTGATTAATTATTTATTTTATTAATTGTATCCATCCTGAGTTATCTTAGGTTTAACACGAGATTTCAGTACAACTTCTAGATATATCATATTTTTTCAATCCTCTAGTTAGAAAAGTTACTCAAAGATATTAATAACTACAACCCATCTTTTAGTAGCATTAATGTCTATCATATTCTTATTCATATTATAAAGAGCTCATCACATATTTTATTTACTATGACTAAATTTGATATTCTACTCAATCAAATTAATCTATAATCTTTTAACTTCTACACTAAGTTTAAAGAGAGCTTATACTTGTCATAGTGTTTTATAAATTGAAATAGGCAACATAATAATGAACAGTGAACCGGATAGGTTATTAAGAAAGAGACGTAGTGCATTAGGCACGCTTAAATACCAAGTCTTTCATAGAACTAATCCTAGACATGCACTTTCATTCTATCAAACTACCTTCCAATCAATAAATTATGCTTGATACTTCATACACATTTTGGGCCCATTGCCGCTTTATCCTAGTTATCATTGACTATCTTAGTCTTTACTAGTGGTTTATCTCATTTCATAATATTTTCACTAAAATTTAAAGACTAACTTAAAGACTCATTTATTTTAATTCATGTATTTATGTAAAATATTAACAGGAAACAAGTCTAAATAATTTGACTTCATAATTAAGTAGAATTATAACTCTCGAACAAACTTGTTTATTCTCACCACGTCTGCAACTTCAACCTTTGCATCATTATCTTTAATCAGAATAACTATGAAATCTATCGGCATTCGAATTAGAATAAATTCAATAATATTAGTCTTTGAAATTTACTAACAATAATAAATTTTCATAAAGACAATGATAGTAATAAAATGTTTATATTTAGTATTCCAAATCATTATATTCAATACATGGTTGAATGTAGATTAAGATTTGAGAACTATTTGATTTGGAGAATATCCTAATTTTGATTCTAAATTGTTGGAAATATAAACTGTTGTAAAACAAGACATTAACATTGACTGTAAAATATAAAATAAAATAACCAATCAGAAAGATAATCTTGTCATCGTATTAACAATTTCCATAGAAGCGAATTCACCCTGATGTGTGTAATCGCTACTATAGACGAGTGACCCCCGAGGTTAGGATGACTCTCCAAATTTCATATACCTAAAATATGAAGTGAACTTTGGTGGTACTACTCTTCTCTCAACTCAAAACAAAACTCAAGGAAAATTTTCAAATAGTGATTCAAAGTAAACACCAATTGCTTTTTGAATGATATAAAATTAATAAAATTGCCTACTATTTATAGCTTAAATAATGAAGGCGAAATTATCATTTTTCAAAGCATAATTTAATTTTATTTAAAATAAAATTAAAAGGTATTTAAATTAGAGTTAAAAATGAACATTAACAAGAATAAGTCACCTCAAAATATTCAATAATCCTTTGGGAATTTCGATCGAGACGTGCGAACTTGAGAAGTTATAAAATTTTAGTAGATAAATTAGATAACCTATAGATAAAAAATCCAAAATATAAAAAATTTTGAAAATTCCAAAGGTGGGACAGCATCCCAACATCTGTAGGTCTATCCCATAATAATAGTACATCAAAGGTGTCAATATATCGATGCTAGGCTGATATATTGTGCAGTCGACAGTTCTACCTATATCCACTGTGTTTCTCAGTCTTCGCAACGATGGCAGCGGCCCTTGCATCAAGCCCAGATGCTGGTTGGTCCATGAAAATAAATGAGGGATTAGCAACAAGCTCCACACTGCAATTGTCCATCTTCTTCTCTGCTGAGTTGACAGCCCTGTAATTCCTGACAGCCCTACTTTAGGTTGTTTAACTCTACCAGTTCAAATGACATTACAAGAGGAGTGAATGGAAGAACCATTCCTTTCTTGGCTTTTCTTTGGTTCGAATTTGATTCAATGTTGGTTCCTTGGATTTCCATTTCTTGGTTACTTTCTGTCTTATCACCTGAATCAAAGATTAGCTATCATGGAAGGCAACACGAGGAGCAAGAAAACAATTAATGCTAACACTTACCGTTTGGATAAGTGATTTGAAGGGTGAAGAGGACATTGAAAAGGATATAGAATCCCACTAGAGCTCCTACACAAACCCATTACCAATTTTCATTTCGATGGACTTCTAATTTTTCAAGCACTGCCACCCCCAATCTGGTTATATTGTCAGCAGCCTGGATTGCAATCGGAATATTCATTAAGTAAAACATCTATGCATTCTTCTTTGATCATCTGTTGTCTATAGGAAAGATCGTCGGGAATAACATACTAGTCTGTTCATCCATCTCGGTGCATACATTTCATTACTAACACGGGAATTGTAAGCATACGACAAAGGTGAAACCCAGTAACCCCATTTCCACCATTTAGGAATTTGAGTTGTTGCCAAAACAAGTAAGCCTTAATCAATTCATTAGATCCATGTAGCTTTGATGCTGTGTAAACCAGGGTGTAAAGTTCTGAAATACTAAAATTCTCTTTGAATCAAGGTAGGGTTGCTTTTGGTGCATACTTCTAGGAAGGGTCAAACCAGCGAGCATTACCAAGTATCACAACAAACACTCCACAGGTGTTGGAAACAACGATGGTCCTGCAGACTCCTGAAATGAGCCTAAATAGTAAAGCCACCATTTGTTAGATCAGAAATACCACCAACATTTGCTTGAAAAACCAGCATACACATGGAAAACTTTCTCGCTTAGTACAATATGAAAATTGAGATATGAAATTAGAGATGTAGTTTGTCTTTGCCATCCAAGCAATAGTCTCAAAAATGGCCATAGGTAGTTTTGTCTTTGCTTGGAAAAACCGGAACCCTGGCGATCGTAAGTGAAGTCTAAGGAGCACCACTGAACAGGTTGGTGTTAAATGTAAACAAGAGAACGCCATTGTAGAGAAATGCATCTTCTTCATTCCTGTGATGCGTTCTAGTCCTGAAATACAATGTTGATGCACAGAAAGCTACAATAATATTGTGAGTTATCTTGACGTAAAATCGTCGATTTTGAGTGGATTTTGGGGAAAACTAATCCTTAAAAAAGAAAGGAGAGAACTAGACATTTTGGTAATGATCTTGTTGCGAAAGAAGACTGGTGATTAGTTGTCAGCGATAACAAAAAAAAAAGTACAGTGCTAAAAAGTGAATTTTTTAAAATCGTCGATTTTGAGTGGATTTTAGGGAAAACTAATCCTAAAAAAGAAAGGAGAGAACTATAAACATTTTGGTACTGATCTTGTTGCGAAAGAAGACTGGTGATTAGTTGTCAGCGATAACAAACAAAAAGTACAGTGCCAAAAAGTGAATTGTTTAAAAGTTTAGATTAATGTTGTAATTAAAGAATCTGAAAGTACAATATATAAATGATACGCCAACTAAAATTCAGTGATATCTGATGTAGTGATAGAAAGATACACATCATCGTGTCGTTATAATTCAACGTCCAAGATACATAATTGAAGTTAAACTTTAACATATATTTTCCTTGATACCCATCTAGTGGAAATCAGAATTGGAACAGACAAGAATCCGACTCACCCTACGTTATCATCCCTAAGCCCGAGTACATAAAATCAATATCATTTAAAAATAGCATCTGGTAGTGGAAACTATAATAAACATGTCATACATTTTCCATCATATTTATATTTTGATGGCATTTGTAGAAATAATATACATACATCACTCTTGAGCTAGACTATGCGTACAGATTTTCCTCTATCTAACTTGGAAGTTCAGCATCTTGATGCATAAGAGAAACATGAACGCAAAGAACACTGGGAAAGCAACCAAAACTGCAGCAACTACCCACATGAAGTCATAGTGATACCCGAAATGGTGTTCTAAGTACCTTTTAATTGTAGGGTCAGGCTTGATCCCTGGTGCTTTAATGGTGCATTCATCATCTCCGTACTGCGACGTAATCAATCCGTACATTGTCCATGCTATTGGGCAGATCCAATAATACCAGATCCACCATGGAGGGATTCTCTGGAATTTCAGAGAAAATGAATGATTTTCGATCATCAGGCATTGTTGGGGCTATTCATACACAGTTTGCTTGCAAAAGAAATTAACGTACCGGCCTTGGGATGTAGAAGCCAGAGAAAAGATTAAAAAGTGCATAGAAAGATGATGCTATGATAGCTGCCACTTGGACGTTCGGTGAGATGGCAACAGTCATCATGCCGTAGTACGTGAAGTACAAGAAGGTGGAAAAGTTAACAAAAAAGGCCCAGAAGAACTTCTTCGCCGTCCATTCGAACTTGATCATAGCATACACAATAACTGTATAGTATAAAGATTGTGCTAACACAAATGGGATTTCTATTATAACCTGTATAAGATTGAGTAGATTAGTCAAATGACATAAAACGCATTGATTCTTGAAATAATGTGCTTAAGTTCTAAACCTTCACTACCTCTCACCTGTGCAAATGCATATGGTAATGCAGAGTACATTCCAGCAGCTCTTTCACGATAAAATATGGTTCTTTCGATGGCTACAACCGGCTGGGCTGTTTGGCAGTTATTAACTCCAAGAAACATGGCAGCTATATACACGGCCCCTAGTATCACTGTAAATTCAGTTGCATCTTTTCTGAACCATAAAAGGAAAATAGAATATATCATTTAGGGAACATTTTCAATATTTTGAGTCATGTAATCAATGAGAAAATGAAAGATCGAGTCAGACATTCTTGGGCCGACTCTCCAGAAAATTGATCCAATGGTTAGAGCTGCAACCAAAGTGAAACCTAATCGGACAAGGTTGTATTCAGGGGTTCTCCAGTAAGTTTTGATTTGCTTCCAGAGGCAACATTTGAACTGTCCCCATCTAGATTGAGAATATTGAGTAATGAAATGCAGGTCATTAGCTCCAGGTGGTGGTTTACTTATCTCGTGTACTAAAGCCTGGTTTTGGCTGCTCAAACACATATATGTTAGTTTGTGTTCAATAAAAGCATTAAAAAGAACTATCTTGTGAACAATAAGTAATAGCTTACTGATATAAAGATGATGACTTATAATGCTCAGCAAATTCAATTCCAAGTTGTGCTTCAACTGCTACTGAGCTCACTTCCAGCAACCAAGTTGCTGGATTTTGTTTCTCCTTAATTTTGGGAATTCCGGGAATCGCCTGCAGTACATTTCCTGTAATTAAGATTTCTCGAAGTATAATTGTGCTATTCATTGATAAAGTTTAGAATGATAAATCACCTCAAAATATTCAATAATCCTTTGAGAATTTCGACCGAGACGTCCAAAGTAGATGACTTGTCCCCCTCTTTTCATCAATAGAAGTTCATCAAAGGCTTCAAATATATCGATGCTAGGCTGATGTATTGTGCAGACGACAGTTCTTCCTGTATCCACAGTGTTTCTCACAGCCCTCATGACAATGGCAGCCGCCCTTGCATCAAGCCCGGATGTTGGTTCGTCCATGAAAATAATTGAGGGATTAGCAACAAGCTCCACCGCAATTGTCAATCTTTTTCTCTGCTCTGTTGAAAGCCCTGTAATTCCTGGCAGCCCTACTAGACCATCTTTTAGATTGTCTAACTCTACCAGTTCCATCACTTGATCAACAAAGGTCTAAAAAACAGAAAAAGATTGGTTTTTCATTTAATATCATAAGCTCAGTTCCAATTATATACGATTCATATTCTTACCATTTTTTCTTGTTCACTGATTTCTTTTGGAAGTCTAAGGAAAGCCGAAAATATCAAGGATTCCTTGACCGTGATTTGAGGTGAGTGTATATCAGTTTGTTCACAGTATCCACAGACTCTGGCGAAAGTTTCTTGCTTTTTGGGGAACCCAGAGATTCGAACATCACCTTCGATGTATCCACCGGTTTTTCTTCCAGCCAAAACATCCATCAATGTTGTCTTTCCAGCTCCACTGACTCCCATTAGAGCAGTCAAAACTCCAGGCCTAAATGCACCTGTTATTTCTCGAAGTAATTGTAGCCTGTTCTCAGTAACTCCCTGCGCCTTCATCTCCTATTCAAAATATGGTTTGATGAATAAGGTGTATGATGACGTTGAAACAAAAGACAGTGAAAAATGTAAAGTGATTTCTTACAGAAGGCATGTCAACATAATAGTTCACTTTGTCAAATGACATTGCTAGGGGAGTGAATGGAAGAACCATTCCTTTCTTGGCTTTTCTTTGGTTCGAATTTGATTGACTGTTGGTTCCTTGGATTTCCATTTCTAGGTTATGTTCTGTATCAACGCTTGAATCTTGCTGAATAACAGCTTGTGGCGCTGCGGGAGCTGTTATAATCGATATAGAGAATATCATAGATTAGTTATCATGGAAGGCAATACGAGGAGCAAGGAAACAATTAATACTAATACTTACGATTTAGATAAGTGAGTGCAAGGATGAAGAGGACATTGAAAAGGATACAGAATCCCACCATAGCTCCTACACAAACCCAATACCAGTTTTTATTTCGATAGACTTCTAAAGCTTCAAGCACTGCCACCCCCAATCTGGTTACATTGTCAGAAGCCTGGATTGCAATCAAAATATTCATTAAGTTTCAACTTGCTTTATTGTATGGTATTAAAGTAAAATATGTATGCATTTTTCTTTGATCATCTGTTGTCTTTAGGAATGATTGTCGAGAATAACGTACCAGTCTGTTCATCCATCTCGGTGCATACATTTCATTAATAAGAAGGGAATTGTAAGAATATGACAAGGGTGAAACCCAATAACCCCATTTCCACCATTTAGGAATTTGAGCTGTAGCCAAAAGAAGTAAGCCTCAGTCAATTTATTGACATGCTAAAATTTTCTTCTAATCAAATAATTTCTTAAGAAAGAAGTAAAGGTTGTTTTTGGTGCTTACTTCTGGGAAGGGTGAAACCTGCTAGCATTACCACAAACATCAGAGCGAACATTCCACCGGTGTTGGAAACAACGATGGTCCTGCAGACCCCTGAAATGAGCCTAAATAGTGAAGCAGCCATTTGTTGGATAATAAATATCACCAACATTTGCTTGAAAAATCTGCATAGACATCGAAAACTTTCTAGCCTAGTACTATAAGAAAATTGAGATAGGGAATTAGAGATATAGTTTCTATACCTCTCAGCCTCTGGTGCAAATCCTATGGTGTAGTATGTCATTGCCATCCAAGCAATAGTCTCAAAAATGGCCATAGGTAGTTTTGTCACGAGTAATGGAATGGCGAACGCCCAAGCTGGATAGAGTAATTGGTCTCTTTGCTTGAAAAAAACTGGAAGCCTGGCGATCATGAGTGAAATCTCAGGAAAACCATTGAACATGTTGGTGATAAGTGCAAACAAGAGAGCACCATTATAGACAAATGCATCTTCTTCATTCCTGTGATGCATTCTAGGCCTGACATACGATGTTAATGCAAAGAAAGCTACAATAATAATCTGACTTGTCTTGAAGATATAAAAGAATGAGTTCCGCTTGATCAGTAACACTTCTTTATCCCAGCAGGCCTTCAAAAGTTCAAGTTTTGTTACAGAATATCTTGAGAATACTAAGGCTGCTTTGTGGCATTTGGACTTATCAAAAGGCAACGAGAGCTCGTTTGCTAGCTGCACTCCAACATGGAACTTCTTGAACCTTTTAGCAAACTCAGTAACCGGAACATATCGGTATGGTTTACCTCTATCAGCCCAATACTGCGCTTGATCCTTCTTTGAGGTAACCTGCACGCAACAATAACATTTGCTCCTAAGTTTTGAGTTCTAAATGATGCTTCTTACGTTACACCTACGATTCTTTCTTTTACCTCTTGCAAGAAATCTGCAGTTCCCTTCCTCTCGGGACATTTGAATCCACAGCTCTCGAAGAATTCAACGACGTGTTCTCGTGGACCTTGATAAACAATTCGACCTTCAGAGATGAGCACTATATCATCAAAGAGGTCAAAAGTCTCGGAAGCTGGCTGTAGTAAGGACATGAAGATAGTGGCATCCGTTAGGTGAGCAATCTGTTGCAAGCACTTGACAATTTGATAGGTTGTGGAACTGTCAAGGCCTGTTGATATCTCATCCATGAACAATGTTTTGGTCGGTCCAATGATCATCTCTCCTGCGTTAATCTTGATTTAATTGGAAATGGAAGCTCATAAATCACATACTTGATTTATTAATCAAATATAGCTAATTTGTTAACCTGTTGTTACTCGTTTTTTCTGTCCACCGGATACCCCTCGAATCATCTCATCTCCAACAATTGTATCCTTGCATACATCGAGTCCCAGCATCTAACCATTTCATTCAGTCATAAATAATTTTCTCTTGGAACTTGAGAGAGAAACACACAGGTTTGTATTTAATGTACTGATGATAGTGTATAACTTCATTGATGATGTATAAAATTATACAGCACTAACATATTTAATATAAATCCAAATACTTTGGCATACTTATCAACTTCATAATATTGATATTTTTCCGCAAAGAAGTAGTTGATCTTACTTTGAGAAAGTAGTCAGTAGCGAGACTGCTTTCAGCTCCTTCAATTGCAGTTGCCTGGAATTCGCAAGTGAATCAAAATTAGTAAGTCTTTAGGACTAAGCTTCAGTAAGTTAATCTTAGATTTTATTTCTTACCTTCATGAAAAGGTCTACTTCTGGTTCAGGATAAATACCAGCGTACTTTTCCCTCCTTGCAAGTTCACTTAGAAGGTCTATTGCAGTCATTAAGAGCTTAATTAATTGTTTGTCTGTGTTGGATCATAAACTTGATCCATTATGGGAGCCTAAACTCAAACCCAAACTAAATTGATGTCATTACTTACATCATTTAATTAAAGATGTCATTGCTTACATCATTTAATTAATGATGTCATTGCTTACATCAATTTAGTTAGGTGAGAGTTAGATATTTGTTGAATTTGTAATGGTTTAAATTAGTTTATTTGTGTGGTGTAGGATTGTTCTTGAGTAGAATAAATACCCCTTCCCATTTTAGTTTTAAGCATCAAGAAAAATTAAGAGCTTCTAAGTGAGTGAAGAAGCAAAGTCTTATAAGAGTGAGTTGTAGTTCTTGTTTTTGAGTGAGAGTACTCTTGTAATATTTGTTTGAGTTTCAATAAAAGTTGTTTGTGTGAGTGTTTTATTTCCAACAAAGTGGCATCAGAGAGAGTTGGAAAGATCGAAGGTCTCGACGAGAGGAATACGACGCCGCCAGAATTTTCTCAATCTGAGTTCTGACGCACCGCCACGCACCGCCGGAAGACTGCTGCCAGAAAATCGAGTTGACTCACCGAGTTGAGCCGAGTCAGCCGAGTTGGAGCCCTTGACCGAGTTGTCCAAGTCCCTCCAAAGTTTTTTTTTTCATCGTTCCGGATTCATCCGTGCAATCGGATTTTACAAAATCTCATTATATTGAGAGATATGGCAAATGGTATGGCACCATTCCAAGTTCCGACACTCAACAACAACAACTACGATAATTGGAGTATCAAAATGAAGGCACTTCTTGGATCACAAGATGTGTGGGATATCATAGAGAAAGGCTATAACGAGCCTGCGGATGATGATGCTTTTGCTACTCTTACACCAGATCAAAAGACAACTTTGAAGGATTCAAGAAAGAGAGACAAGAAGGCTCTCTACCTCATCTATCAAGCATTAGATGATGATGGTTTTGAAAAGATTTCAAGTGCAAGCTCTAGCAAGGAAGCGTGGGAGAAGCTGCAAACCTCTTACAAAGGATCCGAGCAAGTGAAGAAGGTTTGTCTCCAAACATTAAGAGGTGAATTCGAATCCTTAAACATGAAAGCATCTGAGTCTATTTCAGATTATTTCTCAAGAATAGTAGCTGTTTCAAATCAATTAAAAAGAAATGGTGAAAAGTTAGACGATGTGAGGATAATAGAGAAGATACTCCGTTCGTTGGATCCCAAATTTGAGCACATCATCGTGACGATTGAAGAAACTAAAGACTTGGAAGAAATGAAGATCGAACAGCTCCAAGGATCATTGCAAGCATACGAAGAGAAGCATAAAAAGAAGCATGAGTTTACTGAGCAACTCCTCAAGCTGCAACTCAAGGATATGCATGAGAGCCAACGCAATGATAGAAACCAACGTGGCCAAGGAAGAGGTAGAGGCCATGGACGAGGTGGAAGTCGAGGTCGTGGACGAGGCTGGAATTACAACAATAACAATTCCAACAATAACTATGAGAAAGGAGAAAGCTCAACACGAGGCCGTAGAAGAATTAATCCAAACTCAAAGTATGACAAATCTCAAATTCGATGTTATAATTGTCAAAAATTTGGGCATTATGCTTCAGAATGTAGAGCTCCCAACAACAAAATTGAGGAGAAGGCCAATTACGTGGAGGAAAAGACAGATGGCAAAGAAACTCTTCTTCTAGCACGAAAGGAAACTGATGGTGGCCAAGCAAATTCCTGGTATCTTGACAGTGGTGCAAGCAATCACATGTGTGGAAGGAAAGACATGTTTGTGGAGCTAGACGAGTCAGTAAGTGGAAATGTTTCATTTGGAGATGATTCCACAATAGCAGTGAAAGGGAGAGGTAACATTCTTATCCGTTTGAAAGATGGGAGACATCAATTTATTTCAAATGTCTACTATGTGCCCAATATGAAAAGTAACATTTTAAGTTTAGGGCAACTGGTAGAGAAAGGTTATGATATTCATATGAATAATTATAATCTTTCTATAAAAGATGATAAAAATAACTTCATTGCTAAAGTGCCGATGTCAAAGAATAGAATGTTCTTGATCAACATACAAAATGATGTTGCAAAGTGCCTGAAAGCTTGCTACAAAGATGCATCATGGCTTTGGCATCTTCGATTTGGGCATCTCAATTTTGGAGGTCTAGAGCTATTATCTAAGAAGGAGATGGTGAAAGGACTACCTCACATCAACCATCCTGACCAGCTCTGTGAAAGGTGTCTAGTCGGGAAACAATTCAGGAAAAGCTTTCCAAAGGAGTCAAAGACAAGAGCTAAGAAGCCACTTGAGCTCATCCATACCGATGTGTGTGGACCGATCAAGCCAAGCTCTCTCGGTAACAATAACTATTTTATTCTCTTCATTGATGATTTTTCAAGAAAAACCTGGGTATATTTCTTGAAACAGAAGTCAGAAGTTTTTGAAGTCTTCAATAAGTTCAAAGCAGCAGTGGAGAGAGAAAGCGGTAGAAAGATCAAAGCCATGAGATCCGATCGAGGTGGAGAATTTACTTCCAGGGAGTTTCAAGAGTTCTGTGAAGCCAATGGAATTCGTCGACCAATGACAGTTCCTAGATCCCCCAGCAAAATGGTGTGGCAGAAAGAAAGAATAGAACAATCCTCGACATGGCACGAAGCATGCTCAAAAGCAAGAAACTACCCAAAGAATTTTGGGCGGAAGCAGTATCGTGTGCAGTCTACTTGTCAAATCGATCTCCAACAAGAAGTGTATGGGGAAAGACACCGCAAGAGGCATGGAGTGGAAGAAAGCCTGGCATTTCCCACTTGAGAACCTTTGGAAGTATAGCCCATGTTCACGTACCAGACGAGAGAAGAACGAAGCTTGATGATAAAAGTGAGAGTTTTATCTTCATCGGCTATGATGCTAATTCGAAGGGCTACAAGTTGTACAATCCAGACAATAAGAAGTTTGTGATTAGTCGAGATGTGGTCTTCAACGAAGAAGGAGAATGGGATTTTAACTCTCATACAGATGACTTCAATTTCTTTCCTCAGTTTGAAGAAGATGAGCAGACAATGAGGGAGCAACTAGATGAATCTCAACAAGAGCTTGCAACTCCACCCACTTCACCAACATCAACCGCTCAAGGAGACTCATCACCTTCATCATCGTCAAGTAGGAGTCAAAGTGAAAGAGTTGTGCAACGCACAAGAAGCCTTAGAGATCTCTATGGGGTAACTGAACGACAAGATAATCTTACATTATTTTGTCTGTTTGCCGATTGTGAACCAGTGAGCTTTCAAGAAGCAGTACAAGAAAAGAAATGGAGAGATGCGATGGACGAAGAAATCAAGGCCATCGAGAAGAATGACACATGGGAACTTACCTCACTTCCCAAGGGACATAAGGCGATAGGTGTCAAATGGGTGTACAAAACAAAGCAAAACGCCAAAGGAGAGATTGAAAGGCACAAGGCGAGGCTAGTTGCTAAAGGCTATAGTCAAAAGGCTGGAATTGACTATGATGAGGTATTTGCTCCTGTTGCTCGATTGGAGACTATCAGACTAATCATTTCTTTGGCAGCTCAAAACAAGTGGAAGATACAACAGATGGATGTAAAGTCCGCCTTCCTAAATGGAGTTCTTGAAGAGGAACTTTACATTCAGCAACCATCAGGCTATGAAGTCAAAGGGCATGAAGACAAGGTGTTGAAGTTGAAGAAGGCTCTTTACGGGCTAAAACAAGCACCAAGGGCATGGAATAGCCGAATCGACAAGTACTTCCAAGAGAATGGTTTCAACAAATGTCCCTACGAGCATGCTCTATATATCAAGATCAAATATGAAGATATTTTGATCGTGTGCCTCTACGTGGACGATTTGATCTTCACTGGAAGCAACCCAAGCATGTTTAATGAATTCAAGGATGTGATGATGAAAGAATTCGAGATGATAGACATGGGGCTCATGGCGTACTACCTTGGCATTGAAGTTAAGCAACAAAATTATGGAATTTTCATTTCACAGGAAAGCTATGCAAAGGAGATACTGAAGAAGTTCAAGATGGAGAACTGTAAGCCAATAAGCACACCGGCAGAATACGGGATCAAGATGACCAAACATGAAGAAGGCGAAAGTGTAGATCCAACATTCTTCAAAAGTTTGGTAGGAAGTCTACGCTATCTAACTTGCACGAGACCCGATATTCTTCACGCAGTTGGATTGGTTAGTCGCTACATGGAATCCCCAACAACCACCCATTTTAAAGCTGCAAAGAGAATTCTTCGCTATCTGAAAGGTACAATTGACTTTGGCTTGTTCTATTCAGTTTCTAATGATTACAAGCTTGTTGGATATAGCGACAGTGATTGGGGTGGAGACATAGATAATCGAAGGAGCACTACTGGATTCGTATTTTTCATGGGAGATATTGCATTCACATGGATGTCAAAGAAACAACCGATTGTCACATTGTCCACTTGTGAAGCGGAATATGTTGCTGCTACCTCATGTGTTTGTCATGCAATTTGGCTTAGAAATCTATTGAAGGAGATTGGTTTGATACAAGAAGAGCCTACCAAGGTTTGTGTCGACAACAAGTCAGCCATTGCCTTAGCGAAGAATCCAGTATTCCATGATCGAAGCAAGCACATTGATATTCGCTACCACTATATAAGGGAGTGTGTTGCAAGAAAAGATGTGGAAGTTGAATATGTGAAGTCACAAGATCAAGTTGCTGATATTTTTACCAAGCCACTGACCAGCGAAGACTTCTTAAGATTAAGGAACCTACTAGGGGTCACGAGATCAAGTTTAAGGGAGGGTGTTGGATCATAAACTTGATCCATTATGGGAGCCTAAACCCAAACCCAAACTAAATTGATGTCATTACTTACATCATTTAATTAAAGATGTCATTGCTTACATCATTTAATTAATGATGTCATTGCTTACATCAATTTAGTTAGGTGAGAGTTAGATATTTGTTGAATTTGTAATGGTTTAAATTAGTTTATTTGTGTGGTGTAGGATTGTTCTTGAGTAGAATAAATACCCCTTCCCATTTTAGTTTTAAGCATCAAGAAAAATTAAGAGCTTCTAAGTGAGTGAAGAAGCAAAGTCTTATAAGAGTGAGTTGTAGTTCTTGTTTTTGAGTGAGAGTACTCTTGTAATATTTGTTTGAGTTTCAATAAAAGTTGTTTGTGTGAGTGTTTTATTTCCAACAGTCTGTATGCATAAATGCTTTGTTAATATAATTAGTTATGTGAATACCGTATCGAGTTCCGACCCCTTGACACCTAGCAGAGAAATCCAAGGTTTCTTTAACAGTCATTTCAGGAACATGAACATCATTCTGGCTAATATACGCAGAGGTCTTTTGGGGCACAAATTCATTCAGTTTATACCCATTGTAGCTTACTTCCCCACTCACCTGTTTCATGCAAAAAAGTTAATCAATCAGTATAGGCTATATAGCTTGATGAATAAGTTTGGCATTTGTTGACCTTCAAGCTTGGGTCCAGTTTCCCAGCCAATGCAAGCAAGAGGGTTGTTTTCCCAGAAGACGGGGGCCCTAATAAAAGGGTCATCCTGTAGGATGTCTCCAAAAGTTAATTCAAGCAATTTGCATGCATAAATTGAGGTTTTGCTTTAGATATAATTTACCTGGATGGTTTGATGATACCAGAGATATCGTTAAGGATGTTGAGTTTGGTGGTCTTGGACAATCTAATCCCAAGCATTGAAAGAGCTAACTCTGCTATATTTTGAGCCGCATTTAGGAGAGTAGGCAGGGCTCTACCACCTATATACGCTTCTCCTTCAACCTTTAAATGCTCATACCTAACTTCCACTACTGGAAGCTGAATCCCAACCCTGCAAACAATAATATCCTAAATATCATTAAATATAATTAAAGCTAAATTTCAATTTAATCAACACTAACCATGGATAGAACAATCGAGCTCTTGTACATAGATTTTATTAAACAAGAGTTTGATCCTTGGATGAAATTATTTTAATGTTTTGCTAGATGAAAATGAAATCTAGTTAGCTCGTGATACATATTTAATCATATAATTACTAATAGAAATATATAATTTCTTTATGGCTATAATTTTTTATATCCATTTGACCAGATAAAAGTGGAAGACAATGAAATATGTATTTGGAATAATTCAGTAGAATCTACTCAAGAATACAATATTTGGAAAATGATTGTTTGGTGGGACAATATGTTTTTATATATTTTAGTTTTTTATATAAACATATTCCTAAAGTATATATAGTAAAGGGAACAATTTGTTCATCAGTGCGGTTGATTATCTTAGTATTTATAATCTTGTTTAAAATATTTTAGATTTTATATAAATTTGATATATTACTAATTCGTATTATATTAATTTGAGGTTTATTTTTTAAAAACCATGGTAGTAAAATCGTAAAATTGATTGCATGATATCATTGCAAGTAAACTTTAATACGAATCAAAATAATTCAGTATTTCAATAGCTTAATCCTTTTTTTGATTCGTTTGTCGATGCGATCATATTTGTTTGTATATATCTTTGTTTGAGTTTCTTGGTTAGATTTAATCTTTCCTTCTATGGTTCTTATGTGATCTTAAGTTACTAGTTTTGCTTTAATGATTATAGGAAGTTTTCCTAATTATGTATAGGGATGGCCATGGGTCGGGTTTGAGTCGGATTTCGGCCAACCCGACCCGAAAAATATATACCCTCCACCTGACACATACCCGACCTAAGTTTTTGAGATAAAATCTGAACTCAATCTGTCCTAACTTGAAATAATAAAAATATTATTTTTATTCAATAAAAACAGTGATTTAATTGAAAAAAATAATATATAGGGGTATTATTGTAATTATTCTTAAATATATATGGTAAAATTATATTTTTTTTCAGGTCATGTCGGGCATTTTTCACCATAAACCCAAATTCGACCAGACTCGAATATCACCTTTAAAAAAATCCGATCCAACTCAACCCTAATTTTTTTTAAAAAAACCTACCCAATCGGGTTGGGTTTGGGTCCCATGCCCATCCTTAATTATGTGCTTAATTTACAATTGTAGTTGTAAATCTTTATTATAATTTGTGATATTTCTTATTTTAAATGAAATTAGTTGCTTCTATCGAAAAAAATATAAACTATTTTGTATTATAAAGAAATAAAAAGACGTATTTGAAGAAAAACCAAAACTTAATCACTAGTTAATACTTTTAAAATTATTAATTAAGTAATTATTAAATATAAAATACGATACTTTTATTTTAATTTTTTTTAATTTTTTAAACTATTTTTATAATATATACAAATATATAATTGACAAGGTAAATTATGTGTTTAATACATTTACTATTAGTTTTGGTCCTTTTTAATACATAAACTTTTAATTTTTTTAAAATCATACCTAAAGTTTAGTTTTTATTTCATTTTAGTGTATTCATTCAAAATTTAATGTTAAGTTTTGAGAAAATCGAAAGCTTAGATACTAAAACGGATCAAAACTGATAGTTTAGGTACTAAACGTGTTAAGTTTTAACAACATATACTATAATGAAACAAAAATTAAACGTTAGTTATGGTCTTAAAAAAATTGAAAGTTTAAGTACTAAAACGAACTAAAACTAATAGTTTAAGTACTAAATGCATAGTTTATCCTGATTAATTGCAACTACAGTTTAACTTAATATTATTTTTGTCAATCATGTTGCAATTATATAGCTCGATAAATGGTTAAATGTTGTCTTATTTAGGCCCCAAGCTTAATCTCCTCCATAGTTCATATTTCTTTAAAAATTTTGTATTAGCCATAATTTAACTTAAATACTATTTTTGTCAATTATGTAACAAATAATAACGTTATTGCAATGGTTTAGTGTTGTTTGACCTCTTGGTCTCTCGTTCAATCCTCTCAAATTTATCTATATTCTTTTTAATTTTTATCAATAAGATGATGACATGTACTTTCATTTTATTAAATTATTAACTCATTTTCAAACTGAAATTAAATTGATTGAATCGTAAATATGAATCATATATATTTGAAAATTGGCACGTAGTCTTGTCGTTGTTGGTTTAACAAGTTGATACCTTGGTTGAAACCGAAAGAGTAATTTAACCTAATCGTTATGCATATAGTTGGTAAGAAGAGAAACTTACTTATCAAGTCTGTTTCGGAATCTCTTCAAGAACTTCTCGTTGTCTTCTTCAGCATCCTTAAACAGTGCACTAATGAAACTCTGTCGGTCATCCATGTCAAGCCTTCTCACATCGACTTCTCTCGGACCAACATTGTTATCATCATTCCCCACAAACGAATTCATGATACTCGTTCTTAAACGATCATACGTTGGCAGCTTCTCGATAGCCGCCCACCTGAGAGCTTCTTCATCTTCCTCCTGAGCTCGACTGCTTCGCGACGCTCCGGCCGCAAAAACATCCTCCATCTTCCTCTGTGTATTGCTCAAGCTGCGCCTTATTCCGCTTCTCAGCGTATCAGGGCTTGAGCTACTCCTTGGACTTCTTCCTTTCTCTATCACATCCATTGAACGTGTTTCTCCTGTATTCAAAAGTATCTTCATGTGATTTAAATATGAATTAGATATAAATTTCTTTTTAAAAAAATGCTGAAACAACATATACAGTTTACCCATAATCAAATTTTGAATAAATTTGATGTATTTGAACAGGTACTTACTCGATTTTGATGTATATGAAGTATTGATATTAGTTAGCTGCTGATAGATTATGAAGAAGAACAAAAGGAGAGAAATTTCATACTGGGGAGGTAGCTAAGAGGGTGTCCATTAATCTGAACGACATAGAGAATGGTTCATGGGGTTAATCATATATATATATATATATATATATAACTCTCTTATATTGATAGACTTGCAATCACTAGCAATAGATCATGTTTGAATTGTTATAAATTTTGATTATCGACCTATCACTATTGTAATATGCATTGTTGTGTTATTGTTAATGATATATATACTTCATGGTTAACATTTTAGTGGTTAATTTCAATACTACGTTGTTTTAGAAAAAAATTAATGTGTAAACTCTTCTTATAATGTCCTGTATTTCCTCTCTATTTAATATAACTAATTACTATGATTAGGTAAAAGAAATAATGCGCAACTTTTTAATTAAAAATGCGTATGCCAAATTAATTAAATGAATAAATTGAATGCATGCATGGTCATAGATGAACCTCAAGATTCCTTAAACCTAACCCTAAGGTAATGAGCCATGATGTCATTTTATCCTTTTGAAAAGTTAACCTAATATCTAAGTCGTGAACCCTTAAATGCTTTTTGTCCTCCTCAAATATAACGTGTAAATCATTTTTGTTATTTTAATTATAAACGAGTAATTAAAAAACCGTAGCCGCTCTTCTCTTCCTTTCCTCTTGTTTTTTTTCTTGGGTTTGTGTCGTTTTTTATTGATAAAATAAATTTTTTTCTCTTTAATTTTATTTAATAGACGATGACATCGATTTTGCTGTTGATTGTTTATCTTTGGTTATATTTTCTCTCTTTTTTCTTATTTTTTTAATAAGAATGATTTTATCTTTGTGGCACGTATATTTCTACATTTGTGATATTTTTATCTCTACCTTCGTGGTACTTTTTTTCCTTGGTCGTTTGGTCGTTTTTTATTTATGTTTTCTCAAGGTTGGATTTAAAGACGCCACGACTAATCAATATGACGCTTATTTGAAATCTTGTTGATCTTTCCAACTATTGATCTTTGGATTAAATTTAGATGCACGATTTTACGTTCGAGGATTCACGACGCTCGATTTTGATTTGAGGTTTTAAGTATATTTCAATAGTTTAATTCTCTTTTGTGATTCGTTTATCGATGAAATCAGATATGCTTGTATTTATTTTTGTCCGATTCTTTTGATTGGGTTTTCAACATTTCCATGTATGGTCCTTATATTATCTTAAGCGGCTAGTTTCAATGGTATAGTAAAATGTACAAACTATATATTTAATTTATGATTATAATTATAAATTCTTATTTAATTTTAGATATTTTCACCTCTGTTGGTTTCTATTAAAAATAATAATTATAAACGTGTAAATATTTGGATCACGAATTCCAACTTTATTTTGTGGTTGACTTATGACTTTGGAGTTATCCATAGATTGGCTTTTTGAAGGGAAAAAACAGACTCTTTTCGGTAGCCTTTTTGAAAAATTGGATTTAAGGACAACCTAACAAATTAATGAGTAAATAACCCACACCAAGAGTAAAAGGACCATTATGAGGTATTAGATTTCGGCACGTTTATAATATGATAAAAGATAAAGACTAATTGTTCAACATAAACGAGAAAAAAATATGATATTAAATATTTTTAGTCGATGCTCGAATCAAATGTTATAATCAACAGTTACACCATCGTTAAATATGTCAGATTACTGTTGAAGGCTTCAAAATATCACCGAGTACATCGAATTTAATTGTATAAAATGTTGATACCGTCAATATCTTGTAAGTGGTTCCCTATCGTTGTATGAAATAACATAAGATCATATGGGAATTGAGGATGTAAGCATGTACCGAAACCACATTTTGAAAGTCGTACCAAAGGCCACGTTCTAATAGTTTTAGCCATTTGGAAGTGGCCCATAATACCAACCCATAGAGGTCGTTTGGTTCACGAAATGTAAGATTATTTTTAGGATGATCGAAATGTTATAGTGCTTATCATATTATTGAGAATGTTGTATTACCTTGTTTGATTTATTTGACGTGAATGTAAGATTTTTGGTATCTGGTTGAAGGAATATAAGATAGAAAAAAAATACTTTACTAAATTATCTCTGGGATGTATTTTCTTTTTCTAACCGATTTAGTTCTTTCAAAATATTTACATGAAAGTTAATAAATGGCTATCCCTTTTTTCCATATACATGGAGTAAGGGGGAGGTAAGATAGTAGGCTACCCCCAACACAAGGTTGAGAGCAGCTTTCGTAAGAGACCTCCGAATTATGAAATGTCCTCCATGGGACTCGATCTCACGACCTCAAGGTTAAGAACCTTGTGTTTTACCAACTGAGCTGGATGGTCATTTCCATGAAAGTTAATAGAATATATATTTTTATTATTATTTTTAATTTATATATTTTAAAAAATTATGTACAAATAACTTAGTATATATTTTTATTTTTATTATTTTAAAATTTTTTATTTCTTCGAAAATACAAAAATATACTTACACAAATATAATTATGTGTTTATTTTTAGGTATCAAGATATTGAGAGATGTCATAATTACACGTGTAAGTGTGTATTTATTTTTACGTATCAAGATATTTTGAGATGTACATAATTACACATGTGTAAATATGTGTTTATTTTTAGGTATTAAGATATTTGGAGATGTACATACTTATATCGATGTAATTATGTATTAATTACTACCCTATTTTATTTCATTCATGCTACATGTATGAGTTGTACAACAAGATGTCATATCAAATTATTTGACAAAATTAATAGAAAATATAAAAAATATAATATATAAACCTTTTTATGAAAATTAATCTTATAAATAAACGTAATAAAACACATAGCAAAAATAAAACTTGAATCAAACTCGTACATAATAAATAATCAAAATTTAATAAAAATTTAATATTTTGTTTTACTTTTTATTTTATATGCACTATATTATTTTATAATAAATGTTAAAAATATCTGAAATCATTAAAAAAAATAAAATAATCATATAATCATATACAAAAGTAATAATATTTTAAAATAACTATATTATTTTAGTGGTATTATTTTTCTAGTAGTGTGAATTGTCATTGGTTTCTCGTCTTCATCGCTCATCATTAATTTTTCCTAAACCAATTTTAGTAACAATTATTATAAAATTTACTCATTTGAAAAGTTAGGGGATTTTTTAATTTGTAAACCCTTAAATGCTTTTGGTTTTCCGCAAATATGGACGTGTACATCTTTTTTACTGTTTTGGTAAATATAAAGGCTTAATATATAAATAATCGCTTAAATTATACCATTTTTCAAAATAAGTGTTCAATTTTTTTTGTCAATCCAGGTGTCTAACGTTACAAACGTTTATTTTAGGTGTTCCAATCGTAACAACCATTAAAAGACTTCGCTAAGTGACACTTATCAAGTTCAGGTAATTTTGAAAAATTTTATTGTTTAAAAATAAAAATATTATTATATAAGAAAACCTAATTTCTATTAAATTACAAACAAGACTCGAATCCCTAAAAATCATAAATCCCTAACCCTAACCCTAACCCGCCGACATCGTCCTTTCCAACCACGGTCACCAACGTCATCCTTGTCATCTCCCTAGTCAGACGTTGTCATCTTTGTTATCAATTGGTCGTCAGGATCACATGAGGTCGCAATTTACAGTGTTGGAGATCGTTGGGGGTCGCGTCAGTTGGTCGTCGATTGGCTCCTATTCCTGTAGCTTTTCATGGGGTTATCGGTCGTCGGTAGAGGTTCGACGGCAATAAAGGGCAATGGGCGACGAGGTTCATGGGTTGAAATTAGAGTTTTCAAATTTTGGGGTTTTTTAAAGATTTTCAAAAATTTTGGGTTTTATTTTTATAAATATAATTTTTAATTTTTTTAAATAAAATTTTTATAATTACCAAATTGTAACACGTGTCACTTAACGAAATATTTTAACGGTTGTTACGGTTAAGACACTAATAGTGATAACGTTTGTAATGTTAAACACCTAGATTGATCCAAAAAAATTCTGGCATTTATTTGAAAAAATAGTGTTATTTAGACACTCATTTTTATATTAAATCAAACATAAACATGTAAATCTTTTTATAGCAAATAATGTTGATTTTGACTGTGGAGTTGTTCATACATAAGGCTATTGTGCTTCAAACTGTAAAAGAGTCTAAATAATCAGTGATGAATCTATAAATATTTTTCGAAAGTTGACATACAATATATTTTAATGACAAAATTTTGAATAAGTTCATTTGTTCGGTTGGCTAAGTTACTCATTTTTGTTCTCTCACATTTTCTTAGGTCATGGGTTTTAAACCTACTAGAAGCACTCTCCTTCCTTCTCATAGAATTTCTTTTCTTCTCCCCTCTAGATAGAATTAAAATTAGATTTAAAATTTATAAAATTAAAACGACATAAATTTTATACGAAACAAACACATATAAAAATTTAAGATAAGTACTACCAATATAATAGATAATTACTAGTAAAAATTTAAATTTTAGAATAAATACTTTTCTACACGCACCTCAACAAATCGGTCGCCGCTTGTCATAAACCTTTTTGACAATTAGGAGCTTACGGACAAACCTAACAAATTATATGGTAATAATGGACATTAATAACAAAAGGATTATTACTATGAGTTATTAAATTTTATCATATCATAATATAATAAAAAATAGGGTAAGTTGTATATTTAGCACTTAAACTATCAGTTGTGATTCGTTTTAGTACCTAAACTTTTAATTTTTTTAAAATCATACCTAACTTTTACTTTTCATTTCATTTTAGTAATCCGCTGTTAAAAACTTAAGTGTTTAGTTCCTACCTAAATTATCAGTTTGGTCCATTTTAGTTCATAGTCTTTCGTTTTTTTTTTCAAAACTTAACATTAAATTTTGAAAGAGATACTAAAATGAAATAAAAACTAAAGTTTTTAATGGTGTGTACTAAAATGAAACAAAAACTAAACTTTTGGTATGATTTTAAAAAAATTAAAAGTTTAGGTAATAAAAAGGATCAAAATTAATAATTTAATTACTAAACACATAATTTAACCTAAAAATAATATTAATGTAAATATATATTTTATAAAATCGTCCAATAATAATTATGATTAAAATATTGAAAAATTATATATAATATTTTTAAATAAAAGCAGCTATTCTATTAAGAAATAAAAATATCTACAATGAACGTTTATGATTAGAATCGTAAACTAAACATATAATTAAAATATTCTATTATAATCATTAACACAATGAACGAGTCACTTAAGATTATATAAAGAGCATATAAGGAAAAGATAAAAATCTCATCCATAACAACCACAATTACGTTTTGATATTTGTCATTAAAATTTAATGGCATAGTTGATGTGTTAATTTTAAATTATTTTTTTAATTTCTAAAACACTATTTATATTATTATTTAATTAATTTTATTCGATTAATGAAACAAAACCAAAAAAGCTTAACTAGTTAAGTTATTAAGGTCTCCTTCTCTACCAATTAGGTTATGGGTAAACTACACGAGTGACCATCGAACTATGGTCATTAACCATTTTGACCATCAACGTTTAAAAAGGATAAAACATACCACTCAACTATTTAAATGGTTTAATCCAACCACTGGCCATTAATTTTTAACATAGGTGATGACATGGTCATTAATAAAATTGACATAATTATATATTTAGTCATTATATTTACGTATTCTATCAATTCAGTCACTATTTTAATTCATTCAAAAAAACTATTCCTCCAATCTGAAGTACCATGTGTCACTATATGATTGGAAGATGAATTTAATCAATTTTAATATTTTAATTAAATAAAATTTTTAATCAATTAGGTTGTGACATGTGTCACCACCTATGTAAAGGGAAAAGATTTTAGAATTGAAAGTGAGCTTAAGGGGTTTCAAACCAAAGACCCATTAGCTCAATGGACATGGATCTGCCACTAGGCTTAGCCATTCAATTGGTTTTTAGTTAAACAATGTTATACATGTTGTGTTTAATATTATTTCATATATATAATTTAAAATAATTTAAAAAATAAAATATTAAATTCATTTTCTGTAAATAATTTAATTTAATTTAAAATGATTTTAATATTTTTAATATTTAAGTTAAATTATTTTTATTTTGAGATTTAGATTCTCTAAATAATTTTAATATAATTTTATTTTTCAATATAATTTATATATTATTATTTTAAAATAATCGTAAAAAATATTAAACTCTGTTTTATTTTTAAATCTTATACTAACTATAATTTATATATGAAATATAATTTATTTATTAGATTTGTTTTAATAAATTGATATATATATATATGAAATAATATTAAACACAACATATACAACATTGGGTAACTAAACACCAATTGAGCTAACGGGTCTCTGGTTTGCAACCCCTTAAGCTCACTTTCAATTCTAAAATCTTTTCCCTTTACATATGTGGTGACACATGTCAACACATGATTGGTTAAAAATTTTATTTAATTAAAATATTAAAATTAATTAAATTCATTCTTCAATCATATAGTGACATGCGGCACATCCGGATTGGAGGATTAAATTTTTTGAATGAATTAAAATGCTGACTAAATTGATAGAATGCGTAAATATTAAGGACTAAATATATAATTGTGCCAATTTTATAAAAAGCTACGTCATCACCTCTATTAAAAATTAACGGTTAGTGGTTGGATTGAACTATTTAAATAATCGGGTGGTATATTTGATCGCTTTTAAACGTTGGTGGTCAAAATGGTTAATGACCATAGTTCAGTAGTCACCTGTATAGTTTACCGTTAAGTTATTAAGGATCAACTGTCCTTAAAATGTTAGACGTTCATTTATCTATATACTAGTGTCTAAGTTTTAGTAATCAACTCTTCTTAAAGGATTAGACATTTATTCATTTAGGTACACGTTTGTCTAAAATTGAATATCCTGAAACACAAACCGAACGACTTCATTACTAAAAGAATTGTTGTTATTCCTTGAGATCTCGAGTATCAGGAATGTCAAGGATATGAGCGTTCAATTTCGAATAATTGAGAGTTATCTTTCAACAGATAATGCCTTATGCTTACCCCATATTAATAAAAAAAATTGACTATCCTAAAAAATGTTATCATATCTATTTATAGTTATTGTTCTTTTAATTTACTTTTTTAGTACTTAAGCATTTTTATTATCATAAAAATATTTTTTAATTTACTTTGGGTCTAATTCTTAATAGAATCAAACTCAATCTCGATTCATTAATTTGAATCAAGCCTAATCCTCGATAAATTATAATTTGAATCAACATATGAACATTAACTATGAATTAACAACAACAATTAATAATGTTATATATTTAGACCTACAAATAACGTAATATAAAAAATATAAAAAATGAATTTGAAAAAAGTTTATTCCTTTAAGATAATAAATAAAAAATATATATCAATCAACAAAACTAACATTTCCATGCAAACTAAACTGCTCGTCATCATCTATACTATATGATGCTCATGCAAAAGCAATATAAAGTTCAAAACAGTATCTTAAATTCGTAGAAATTAATAATAAACCGTATTTGGATGTACAAGGGTCACTCAAAACACAGTGGCTTGAACAAGAATTTCCTGCATAAATCCTGTTTATCTGTTCTGGAAATTGAGTGTCCTTATGCAGTAGGCAAACATGAAGGCGAAGAACACGGCGAAGGCAACCAGGACTCCGGCAATCGGCCCCATGAAGTCTGACTCGAAGCCATATTGATGATCGATGTATGATTTAATTGTAAAGTTACGTTGGTCGCCGGGTACGAAAATGGGGTCATCCAAATCGCCGTATTGTGACACAATGAGTCCGTAAATGGTCCATGCGACGGGGCAAATCCAGTAATACCAGATCCACCAACCGGGAATACTCTGAAATTTCATGAAGTAATGAGTTTGTATCAGCTTCTGTCGCGGATGATTAAGAGATGGTTAAAAAAGGTTGCTTGTGAAAGAAGTAAACTTACCGGTCTTGCAATGAAAAAACCGGAGAACAGATTGAAGACCGAATAGAAAGCCGAGGCAAATATAGCTGCTACTTGGTGGTTCGGTGTGATCGAAACAACCATCATTCCGTAGTACGTGAAGTAAAGGTAGGTGAAGAAGTTGATAAAGAAAAACCAGAAGAACTTTGCCGCAGTCCATTCAAAGCTCACCATAGCATACACTATAAGTGTGTAGTATGTTGTTTGGAAAAATATGTAAGGTATTTCACAAAACACCTGCATGTCATGTAATCAAATTTTAGTAATCGGTCTTCTTTTCGGATAATAAGGTGGAATCGAATTAAATGCAGGTGAATCCTCACCTGTGAGAGGGCATAAGGTAATGCAGAGTACATCCCAGCAGCTCTTTCACGATAGAACACCGTTCTTTCGATGGCTATTACTGGCTGTACTGTTGAGCAGTTATTAATTCCAACAAATACGACTGCAGCATACATCGCCCCAATCACCATCGAAAGATCACTTGAGCTGGACTTTTGAGAGCCGACTTGCCAGAAAATAGAACCGACCAAGAGAGCAGCGACCAACGTGAAGCAGTATCTGACTAGGTTATAATCTGGACTTCTCCAATAAGTCAGCCATTGTTTCCAAAAGCATGATTTGAACTGACCCCATGAATTTTGTGAGAACTGAGTGGCAAAATAGAGGTCTGTAGCTCCTGGTGGTGGTGTGCTTAACTCATTTACTAAGGCCTTGTTTCTCCTGCACATAGATATATGTATTAGCTCAAAACCAAAAGGAAATTAAAATAAACAACTAAGTTCATATAGGCATCGTTAATATCTCGACTTACTGATACAAGGAAGATGATTTATAGTGATCAGCAAAATCAATTCCAAGCCTAGATTCAGCTGCTATAGAGCTCACTTCTAGCATCCATGTTGCTGGATTGTACTTATCCTTAATTCTGGGAACTCCAGAAATTGACTGCAATCGAATACGAGGTGAATTATATGATGTTTTCTTCTTTCTTCGGCTTTAAAATTAGTGTACCAAATATGGGAAATTTTGTTATAGTTTCATACCTCAAAATATTCGATGATCTTCTGAGAATTCCGGCCTAATGGTCCTGCGTAAATCACCTGGCCTCCTCTCTTCATCAGTAACAACTCATCAAAGGCTTCAAAGATATCAATACTAGGCTGATGAATGGTGCAGACAACCGTTCTTCCGGTGTCCACGGTGTTTCTGACAGTCCTCATGACAATGGCTGCTGCCCTTGCGTCAAGTCCGGATGTGGGTTCATCCATGAAAATGATCGAGGGATTGGCAACGAGCTCTACCGCTATCGTCAATCTCTTTCTTTGCTCTGTTGACAACCCTGTGACTCCAGGCAACCCTACTATGGCATCCTTCACATTGTTTAGTTCTACTAGTTCCATCACTTGATCCACAAAAATCTGAAAGATAACAACAAATGACGTTTTGAGCATTACGTAAATTGTTAATGACTTAATGCCATGCTTGATTTCACTGAAACACGTGCAAATCAAAGCACTTACCATCTTTTCCTCACTATTGATTTCTTTCGGAAGTCGGAGGAAAGCCGAGTAAATTAAGGATTCTCGGACCGTAACTTGTGGGGAGTGAATATCAGTTTGTTCACAGTATCCAGAAATTCTTGCAAAGGTTTCTTGGTTCTTAGGGAATCCAGATATTTTGATATCACCCTCGATGTATCCACCGGTTTTTCTTCCTGCTAAAACATCCATCAACGTTGTCTTTCCTGCTCCACTGACGCCCATCAATGCCGTCAACACTCCGGGCCGGAATGCACCTGTTACGCCTCGAAGTAGTTGTAACCTGTCCTCACCGACTCCTTGTGCCTTCATTTCCTGTTTAAATGCTTGATTTTTAGACCATGTCTTTGGTGACAACTATAATGCTTATTTTGGACAATAAATTTATTGATGAAGAAACAAAGTTATAGATAGTGGAAAAGGGATCTTACAGGCGGCATATCAACAAAGTAATCGACATTGTCGAAGGACATTGCTAGAGGAGTGAAGGGAAGAACCATTCCTCTCTTCGGGGCAACACCAGTGGCAGCATCAATCGAAGAATCATTCCTGTTGATTTCATGGGAATTGGCTCGATTGCTCGTTCTCCGGATTGCCATTTCTTCTAAAAGTTTTCATTCGACATGAACAAACATTTTAATCAGTATTGATAACTAAGGTGCAGAGAAAACAGAATAGAAACAGTCCATTGTGATACGTTTCTTACGTTCATTGCTAGAGCCTGCAGAGATCGAATTTCTGCTCGATTCTGGTCTCATTAACCTTGGTTCTTCATTCGAAGCCTGTTCATCCTCCAGCTCTTGTGCTGTTTCCTCCGAAATTATAGCCTGTGGCTTTCCAAGGGCTATATTGCCAAGAAACAATACATGGAAGATTAGCTACCTAAAAGATGGTAAACACTTGCAAGAAGATCACATTATCCCAACGAAATGTTTAAACTTACGATTTAGATACATGAGAGCGAAGGTGAAGAGAACGTTGAAAAGCACCGTGAACCCCAGAAGAGCGCCTGCACCAATCCAATACCAGTTTTCATTGTTCGGAACATCAAAGCTTCGGAGCACTTGTTGCCCCAAGTTCGGCGAACCGTCTGAAGCCTGCATCGTGGACAAAGTTTCAGCTTGTTTACTTGCTTTCTGTTTTAAATGAAAATGTTCATCTTTTACTTGTGTTACACGGCTGAATAACATACCGGTTTGTTCATCCACCTCGAATCAAATATTTCGTTCACGGTAAAACCGTTGAAACCATAAGTCAAAGGTGAAACCCAGTAAGCCCACTCCCACCAGCTTGGAATTTGATCTGTCAAAATAAGGTACCCCATCTTTTAGTATCATGAGAAATTGAAGAAAATTTATAATGTCAAGGTTTCCTATTTTATGGTTATATTCTCACTTTTCGGAACGATGAAACCTCCGACCATGAACAAGAGTAGAAGAGTAAGAGTCCCGCCGGTGTTAGCAATCATCATTGATCTGCATACGCTAGCAATAAACCGAAAGAGAGCAGCTGCCATTTGTTGTACTAAAAACACCAGCAGGAAGTTCTTGAAAAACCTGGCAAGTTAATATTAATTTCATCAGCTTCTGTTTTGACTTGTTGCTCAAGAAATTAAGAAAAACTCTGATCAGTGCAGTGTCATGTAAATAAATTGCATCAATTAGATTTACCTGCTGGCCGCAGGTGCATATCCGATAGTGTAATATGTTACGACCATCCAAGCGACAGTTTCCATAATAGATATCGGAACCCGGAGCAGGAAAGTGGGTAGGGTGAAAGTCCAGACAGGATGGAATAAAAGGTCTCTTTGCTTGTAGAATACTGGAAGTCTACTGATCATGAGGGAGAGCTCAGCAAAACCATTGAACATGTTGATGATCATTCCAAATATAAGTGCACCAACAAAGAGTCGTGCATCTTCAATATTCCTAGTGTCCATTTCAGTCCTCAAAAATAATGTGGACACGATGATCGCCACGATGACAATTTGGATCGTCTTGAAAATATAAATAAAAGAATTCCTCTTGATCAGTAGCCATTCTTTGTCCCAACAGGTCTTAAGAAGCTCCATTTTGGAGACCGAGTATTTATGGAAGGCCAATGCAGCTCTGTGAGCTCTTGACTTGTCGAAAGGGACGGTGAGCTCACTCTCTAGCTGCATTCCTACGTGGAAGCGCTTGAACCTGCTTACGAATTCAGGTACTGATATGTATCTGTATGGCTTCCTCTTATCTGCCCAGTATTGCTCTTGGTCCTTCTTTGAGGTAACCTGTCACAGTTTCACCAGCTTGTCACCTTATGTTTCACAAATTGACACAATTTGCTACATCCCTAAAGAGTAAAAAAAAAAAATAGTCGAGACTATCCGCAAATGTTAGGGTTCAGGGTTTTACCTCCTGCAAAAAGTCAGCAGTTCCTTTTCTCTCAGGACATTTGAAACCACAGCTCTCGAAGAACTCAACGACGTGCTCTCGTGGACCCTCATACACGATCTGGCCCTCAGATAAGAGGATGATATCATCAAAGAGATCGAAAGTCTCTGGAGCAGGCTGCAGCAAGGACATCAAGATTGTGCCCTCTGTTAGGTGCACAATCTGCTGCAAGCACTTCACTATCTGGTATGTCGTCGAACTATCGAGACCAGTCGATATTTCATCCATGAAAAGTGTCTTGGTTGGACCAACAATCATCTCCCCTGTAGTTACTCTTTTCTTTTGACCTCCCGAAATTCCACGGTGCATATCATCACCAACAATGATATCCTTGCATATGTCAAGCCCCAATATCTGACCAATTCAACAACAGGGACCAAAGTGACATTAGAAAATGTAAATTAATCCCCTTTTTTTTTAGAATTTTACATCGAGTTAGTATTCGATGCGACGGTGTATAATTTTATATACGGTATAATGAATTTACTTACTTTTAGTGTGTAATCAGTAATAAGGCTGCTTTCAACTCCATGCACTGAAGTTGCCTGGAAAATTCAACGTTCAAAACCAGATGTGAAAAATTCTGGAGTTTTAACAAATTTGAATGTAAGATTGTTGGATTTTTGGTATTGAAAAGTTTTAATACCTTCATGAAAAGGTCTACTTCAGCTTCTGGTAAAATCCCTGCATCCTTCTCCCTTCTAGCTAGCTCACTTAACAGATCTACAAAAGAACAACAATTTTCAGTAAATCATCTGAACAGAAAATAAATCCTGCCACTTATGAACAACATGTGTTAAACATATTGTTCTTACCATATCGAGTCCCGACACCCTGACATCTTGCCGAGAAATCGAATGTTTCTTTCACTGTCATTTCTCCAACATGAACATCAATTTGACTGATATATGCAGATGTCTTTCTAGCTACAAACTCATTTAGTTTATATCCGTTGTATGACACTTCTCCTCTAACCTGTTTCGGAACAAATACGATGTTTTATGAACATGAACACGACACGAATATAAATAATATTCAATCATTGATTGTAACTAACCCTTAAGCTTTTGTCCAACTTGTCGGCCAAGGCAAGCAAAAGGGTTGTTTTCCCAGAAGAAGGTGGGCCTAGCAAGAGTGTCATCCTACAAAAGAAGATGCACAGATTAATACAAAACTGTATAGTTTAATGGTGTATGCCTTAGATCATTATACGTACCTTGATGGTTTAATAATCCCAGAAGCATCTTTGAGGATGGTGAGATTTGTTCGCTTGGCGAATCGGATACCGAACAAGCCAAGAGCCGATTCTACAATGTTCAAGGCAGCATTCGGAAGTGTCGGAAGAGCTCGACTGCCGATGAAACAGTCGGCTTCTATCGTCAGGTTCTTGAACCTAGCTTCTACCGTCGGAAGTTGAATCCCAACTCTGTGATCCCAAGAAAATAGTTATTTAAGAGAAAACATTTAGAACATCATTAAAACCATACATGTCATTACGTAACATGCTATGATTACGAAGAAAAAGATGACAGAATTAACATACTTATCGATCCTGTTTCTGAACTTCTTCAAGAACTTTTCATTATCTTCCTCGGCAACTTTGAAGAGCAAGTCGATGAACTTTTGTCTGTCGTTGATGTCAAGGCTTCTGACATCAACTGCTCTATGTTCCACCTTTTTACCGATGATTTCCTGGTCCACGAAGGACTGCATGATGCTGGTTCGGAGGCGATCGTACGTGGGTAGTTTCTCGATAGCAGCCCATTTTAGAGCTTCCTCGTCGTCTTGGGCACGACTACTCCGTGTCGAACCGGCTGAAAACACGTCTTCCATGTTCCAGCTACTCCTGCTGAGGCTCCTTCCGATGCTACTATGCCCTGTTCTCTTGCTCGGATTCCGAGCTCTCTCTATACCCTCCATGTTTCTCGATCCTCAGAAGAAAAAAAGAATAAAAATGTTTAAATACAGAAAGAAAGAAAAAACAAGGTTTATCTTTTGGTTATTGGTTCTTCTCCCTTTGCTTTCGTCCTCCGATATTTTTGCTAAAGAAATGGAGGAAGCGCAAAAGTTCAAGGTTGAAGAATGAGTGAAAGAATATGTATGTATGTATATATATATATATACACATATACATACAAATCAGATACAGAAAAATTAATAAAGGAATAATCGACGGTTCAAATATGATAGCATCTTAATATGTCTGATTCTTTGAAAGTCAATTGCGGTTGGTGCCTTGAAATTCATATTGGACCCCTTGTGTTGCTATTTATTTAAGACTTTACAAATTAACTAATTTCATTTTCATGCTAATTAATTGATTTTAGTGTCCGGTCCATTCCGTTTAATAATTCTCTTTGTAAAATAAATTAAATATTACCAATCTCTTTTGTAAAATTAATAATTTTTTTCCAAATTCTTCTCGAAGTTGGAAGCTAGAAGAGACCACGAGAGTGGGAAAAGGGTAAATATCTTAGTTCTGTCAACAGCCGTGCACAGAATCTGAACTTTCGTATTATTTTTGGATAACTTACTTTACATACCATTAAACTTTAGGTTGAATGTTGCTTTTACAACTAAAGTTAAATTGATACGGTTGTACCATTAAACTTTGATCTTGGTCCAATTATATATTTTTTTATTAATCTGGGGTAAGTACAAGACAATATCTATTTTAAGATAGCTCTCAACCTTTTAACATTAAACGCTCACACCCCTAATGTTCTCGGTGCCTAAACCCGGGTCTCAAGGAATGATAATCGTTCCTTTACCACGGAAACACCTCAAATGACATGATAGTCTGATGATAATAAAGAACAAACATAGAGATTAAAAAATTATATTTTCTCGAAATCTCTTTAAAATTAAACAAAATATCCATAAATTTTTTGGGCTCCAGGGATTTCTCATATTTTACGAGTTTATGGTGTTTGATCGAAAACCAAAATGATGAGAAGTATTATTTCGAGAAGACGAACAACACAACTCAAAATTGATCTCTTCGAACGGCCACTAAAAGAGATCAAAGCATCGGCACATCGAATATTTATATGAATTTTCATTTATCTTAAGTAAATTCCTAAAAAAAAAACCAATATGAAGAAGGGGAAATAGTGAAATCTGAATATTTAGTAATATATGAAGTAATTTATTTTTTTACTTTTATTTATAAAGGAAAATAAAGTAAGAGCGCCTTTGAATAGCACCAAGCAGATTTTGTAAATTACAGTAACTAGTTCAAAGGACTTTTAAACAGAGGAATAGTTGTAGATGAGGAATTCAAATTCCAAGGGTCAGGAGTGGCAGACATGACCAACATCGCTTATCACTATCCCATTTTGACGCATTGGAATAAACAATTACAAACTCTTTGTTATTTTCTTCCATACCCTTCTAGATTTTGGAATTTTCTTTTGACTTTTTATCGTTACAATTTCCCTCGTTTGAACTAACCTTTGAACCTACGACACAATCACACCAGCAACTCTTAATCTATTAGTCATATTATATTAACATAAATAATTTAAATTGAAATAAATATTTAAATTTAAAGATACGAGTTTAAATCTTGAAATTCACGTAAACCCCAACCTTACACTAAATTATATTGCAAATAAGGATAATATATAAATAAATAAATAAAAGGCTGCTAAAATGACTAGGAAACTGTGTGCGTTAACGCCAGTTGTTAGCGCCGTGGAAGAAGACGGAAACAAAAATCGCCGTCGACAAACTGCCTTGTTATTCAACGAAAGGGATCAAAATTATATAATAATGTGGGAATAATATATTTTGACCACGTCTGGTAATTATAATTTACCGTGAATGTAATTATACGGGTATGATAAAATTTAAACATATTATTAAGATGTTTTTATTTATTAAAAAGGATAGCAGGGTCTTTTTCCTTTGATTCTTCGAGAACATGTAGCGGAGTTCCATGCCGGTCGTTGAACCAAGTTACCGCATTAATCGAAGCTTTAAGGTAGATTGCGTATTTTGTAAGTTCAAAGCAACGAATTCAACAATACTTCCTAAATATATTATTTTCATATAAAGTTCTATAAAAGTTAATAATCCTTCTGGATATCATTGTTCCCCGTGATTTTGGAGAAAAATAAAACAAGGTAAAAGGGTAATTCTTGCCTCCGTAATAGATCTAATTTGTAATTTTTAACATTTCTATCCCTATTATATTTTCGTATCAATTTAGTCATCAAAGTTTCTCAATTGCATCATTTTATATCCTAACATTAACTTAAAACCTTTAATTATAAAACTTAAACCCTAAATCATAACCATATTACCTCTTAAACACAAACTCTAAATGTTAACTTAGAGTTTATAATTCGGCGTTTTAAGCTATGGGATGAGTATGAAATGGAACAATTAAATAACTTTGAAGATAAAATTAATACGAAAATATGATAGGAACGTCCAATCGTAACATAAACATAATATATAATTAGAAGCAAAACTGTGAATGATTTTGATTAAGCCAAGTCAATCCTGTGTATTTAAAACATCATATTGAAAGTTCAGGGAAGCAACGTCCGTGCATGGGATAAAGAGTACAAGTCAATGTTGATGCAACGATCATTTATGCCCATCTTCCATTTATATTATTTTCCCATTTAATATCTTTTTTAAAATACCTTAATTCAGTAAGAATCCATTGTAATCACAAGTCACATGTGATTCTACTCGCCAAACTTGACCATTCTTTTTTCAAGGGTATATGATAATGTTTTGTTGAGTCCGTGACTAGGGTTGTAAACGAGACGAGATAGATCGCGAGCTACACGAGATCGATTCGGTCAAAGCTTGATAAATATCCGACTCGAACTAACTCGACTCGAGTTCTTAACGAGCCGAAACGTGCTACTTGGTACTTGACTCGAAAAACTCGTTAGCAGTTTGAAAATATAATATATTAAGATTTAAAAAAAAATAAATTATTAATAATATTAACATTTATGTGTTTTTAAATGCAATATAAGGTTTTCATGTATTTACGGTTCAGGTTTGAGTTTGAAGTTTCAATCGAGTTAAGTTTAAGATTTTTATGAGCTTTAGTTCGTGATTTCGAGTTCGAGTCGAGCTTAAAAATTATAGGCTCGCGAGTTTCGAGTTGAGTAGAACTCAATTTCAAAGTTTTCGAGTAGAGTCGAGCTCGACTCGACTCGTTTACAGACCTATCTGTGACTATTAAAAATTATAAAATAATCCTTTGATTATAGGGTGTTGCTTTGTTGAGTTTATCGACTATTAAAAGTTATAAAATAATCGATCGAGTGTTCATATGTTCCAAATTCATCATTTTATGTTAAAAATCGATTTTTGTCTGAGCTGGACGTTAACATGATGACTGAGATATGATAGTCATTTAAGATTCTAAGATCATATTTTATCATATATCAGACAACAAGTCAACGTCCAGTTCAAATTTTCATCATTCTTTAACGAAAAATGACAAGTTTGAAATATATGAATAGTTTGGTGATTATTTTATAACTTTTAATAGACGGAAGACTCAACAAAGCAACGTCCATTAACCGGAGAACTTAACAAAATAATGTCTTATAGACGAGGTACCCTTCGTGCATTTTACCCTTTTATTTATTTGTTTATATTTTACCTTGAATAAATAGATGGGGTCGTCTTTACTTTGATTTAAATTTTTTATCAACGTTACTTTCAGATTTTTCTTCAGAAGTTTTCACTGTTCAATTCAGCATTATAGAACCATCAAAGATTTAGCATTTTCCAAACTCTGATTGTATTCGACTGTATGCTCAAAAAAACAAATAAAAAGATAATTACGAACGAGATATCCAATGAAAAAAGAAAAAAAAAGAATTAAGTCGAAGAAACTTTAAATATACAACCATCTAGGTATATCAATATAAATGACAATTTATTATTTTGATGAATTATTTCTTTACATAAAAGAAAACCATGTAAAAACGTGCTTTTTCAAATAGAGTAACCTTAGACAATAAGTTAACGGGATAAGTTCAAGTGACAAGCAGTTTGATATCGTTTAAACATGTTTCGAGTCTGAGTTTTTGTGTATGAATATAATTCTCGTTAGGAGACTCACACACCAAAATTAAATATAAGACCATTATCAACAAAATAGACTTACTAGACATCAGCTACAGTAAAAAAAAGTAAAGATTTTTTAATTTGAGGATGGTTAAATTTCAACACAGATAGATAAGCAATGACTTCATACTTTACACACCACGTTGAAAAATATGAAATGAACATAGAGAAAGAAAGTTTTAAAAGTTGTTTTCTTCTGGAGAAAGGTCATTCACTCTCCTATTATCAAGGGGGAAGAAAACCCATGCTTTTATGATTAATTTATTAATCGATTATATATGGTAAAAATTTATTATAATTAAAATTTTAATTTTATATAAAAATTAATACTTCGTTTGATTAAATCAGCTAATAATTGATAAGCATGACATTTTTTTAATCCAGATGAAGACTCTTTTTATTAGATTAATTGCTAAAAACATCAAATGTATGTATCGAAACAATGAATTCAAGCATCTAGAAATAGGCGGCGTTGAAAATTAGGAAAGAATCGATATTTTATGCTAAAATTTGACAGCAGTGCTATAATTCTGAATGTAAAGTTCTGTTATTCGCTAATATACGGAATGGCCTTCTAGAAACAGAGCATTACCTGATATTTTTACAAATTTCATTTGTTTGACGAGACAACGTGTCGGTTTTTAGACCCCGCAAACGGGTAGATTATTTTAGAAAATTGGGTAATTATAAGTTTATTTTGGGATTATGATATTTTTATAGTGTTCATGATTCGTCACGTTGAGGTGATATATTTTATTAAAATATAATTTTTTTTATTTTGGGATCGAAGATATTTTTTATAATGCATAAAACCCATCATATCAAGATAAAAAGTTTGAATAAAAAATATTTTTATTGAAACTTGTCACTTTGATGTGATGGATTTTATGCATTATAGAAAATGTCTTCGATCCCGAAATAAAAATATTTGTATTTTATTTTGAAATTTTTT